AGAAAAAAAATTAATGCGTTAATAGAAAACGACTTCTTAACTAAGGTACGAAGACTATAATATTTTTCAAAATAGATATTCTCGTTTTAGGACAATTTTAGCGTATATTGTCAGAACCTAATTTAAGACAATTTTTGCATGTCGATGTATCGAGCTAAATCACAATTAAATCCTTTTTATTAAAAAAAAAATAAATAGTGAGCATATTTTATAGCATCGATTGTTATATATCGATAATTTTCAAAACGAGTCGTCTCCACTTCGGCCTATAGAAAAAAAACGAGATTAAATCGATTTTCTTTAATATGGACACAAAAGATTTTGGCTGTTCATAAAGTCAAATCAATTTTCCTATTGAGAATCACGATATCGTTAAAATAGAAAGAAAATACTAGTTGAAAAATTTTAATATTTCTCAGATCTTTTTAGATAAAGTTAAAAAGAACTTATAGTAAAATTTACAAGTCTCTTATTTAAAATAGTAGAAAAATAGAAAATTTCAAGATTGATATAATTTTAGGGAGATAAATAATTTTTGTTTAAATAGAAATTTTCCGATGCGGGCTTTGCGCTTTTTGCCGTAAGAACTAATCTTTGTAAAAATCCTTTGTAATTGTAAATTTATTGAAATTTTACTTTTCAAATATTCGCGCCATTAATTCTACAAGGCGCTGCTGTTGCTAAGACACAAGCTTTTGGCGCGAATTTTGAAAAATAAAATTAAGGCCATTTGTCTCAAAGACGTTAACTATTTATTTGTTTTAAAAAACAATTTCTGTGAGAAAAGAATCTCAAATAAAAAATCTCAAATTTAGAAAATGGAAAATATTCTTGAAAAATCAATTCATTTCAAATGCTCTTTTTAAAGACTTCGATTTTAAATTTTCTTTGTCAAAAAAGTATTTGATATTTTTACTTCCTGACATTAAATTTTTAAATTAAAATAGTTCTTATTTAAAACAAATAAATAAGTTGATAATCTCTTGAGACAAGTATAACTTATTCTTTTTTCTTTCTTCGACAATTTTCGGTGTCGTTAAGACATTCATTGGGGAATTCCCCTGCTTTCCCGGAAATCACTACTAGTAATCGGTGATTCATTTTCATCCGCAGGACTTGGGTTTTCTACACCACAAGAAATCCTCAATTTTTATCAGATTTCCAAACACCATTTTCAACGATTCTCTCCCTCTATCTCTAATTCTCAAATCTTAATACTCTTTTTTATATCTTCTCCAAAAATCAGAATAAAAATTTCGCTTTTCTCTTCTAAATCTTGCTTCTAAAAAAAACCATCTAAATCAAATTTTGCAAATTATCTTTTTTTTTAGCTTTTGCTTAAAAAAAATCTCACCCCTTGACTACAAGTTTCCATCGTTCGCGTAAACAAACGGAAATTCTGTAGAAAAGAGTAGAAATGAAAACTAAATCGTGATCCGGTGATGATAAAAAATTAAAAAAAGATACATAAAATAAAAAAAATTGGGACAATTGACTCCCTAAAAATAAAAAAAAAACTGTCGGACGATTCATAAATCACCTAACACTAAAAAGTTATAAATTTATAAAGAATATTTACACACTAAAGGTAAAGAAAAAAAAAACTGAAGCCTTATGTGGCAGTATAATATACAGAAAAAAACTACTAGTTCGACATTTAATAATAATGAATAATAATATTAATGATTAATAATAAATTAATAATAATTAATAATTAATTATAATTAAACTAACGTCGATAACGTCGATCCGTGAATTCTTGGAGATTCATTTTTGCGATTGTCGAATCCCCAAGGAATTGCTGCGTCTGTCGACAGTGATGTAAACTATTAACATGTAATCCCCTTAATGTTATATTTTTTCGGTGGTAGTCCTTGGATTTTGGTGTTAAATCGCAATTTTCCCAAAAAAAATAAACAAAAAAACCCCTTAAAAAACGATAAGAAAAGAAATGAAAGATGGTGCCACCAAGTTCTCGATATTTATCACGAAAATAACGATTTAGCTCACAATTTTTTAGGACTGCACTCACCACCGGCAGTTTGTGATATATTTAGTGAAAAAAACATGTGAAAAATGGTTGTTATTCAAATTAAATGAAGAAAAGCGCCTAGCGATTTTACATTCACTATAACACTCACACTATACAAAATAAAAAGAAAATTTTTTTAGTAATTTCCATGATTTCTCTCTCGCTGAAAAATAATAAATGGCTTTTGTAAATAACTGCCTTTGCAAAGAAAAAAGAAAATTACGTTCAACTATTTTCCTTTTCATTCGCACTTAATTTCTTACTGTAAATATATTTATCAAAAAAAAAATTTTTTTCTTCTCTATTTTTCTAAGAGAATTTTTCAATTTTCTATAAAAGAATTTAAATAAAAAATTTTTTTTCAATTTAATACAATTTTTGTAAAATAAATAATTCCTTTAAATATTTTGTTTTAATTGAAGGGGAAAATTTACATTTGGAAAAAGTGAAGAAAAGAAAAAAATTTAACGAAAGAATACCTTATCTTCATTCTTCTTTTCTTCTCAAATCAGGAAATTACGATTTATCTTTATTAAATAACAACTTTTTTCTTCTGTTGATGGTCCTTGGAAAACGTCAGCTACATCTGAAACAAAAATATTAAAACTGTTAGAAAATTTGTTTTTAAACTTCTTTTAAATGAATTACTTCAAATTATTCATTCCAATTAAGCTTGGGGTTTTAATTAATTTCTAAAAATCTATTTTCAGTATAAAACTGATTATTAGTAATTGAGAACCAGATTTTTTTTTGTAATTACTAAACGAAAGGAAATAAATAGCCCTTGGGAGATGTCCTGCTTCTGAAACAAACATTTTAAGAAAATATAATTTTATTCATTTTTTTTAATATAATTGTTAACCTTGTGTGGAATTGAATGAAAATTTTCAAATAAAACAAAATATTTTAAATCTATTATTTTTATATACCCTTGAATTAAAAATAACACTTCCAAATTTTTCTGAATTTTCAAAAAAATTCAAAATAGGAAATGTATTTAAATTTCATACAATTAAATTGTATATATAAATATGTATTTAAATTTTTCCAAAATAAAAATCTAAAATTAGAAAAATTAAGTTAAAAAAATATTTCAATTGTAAAAAATATTTGATAAATAATTTTTCAGCGAGACGAAAGTCATGAGGACTAAATATACAAAAAAAAAAACGTTAAGATTATTAACGCGCAATTAGTGTAGGTAAACGACGAAAAATAAAAATTTTTTTTAAGGAAAGAAAAATGATTGTCAAGTGTAGAAAAAAAAGTTGATTTGATGATGGCGATGATACAAAGCGGAAGTAACGCAAAATAAAAGTCGATATTACACACAGCGACACACATACACACTATATATTGTAATATTATTTTTTGAACTTAGTAACGTAATGTAGAATATATTATAGAAAATATTATATTTTACACACACATGTATCTATAAAGAAAAATGAAAACCTTTTTAAATTCATGTGTGAAAAAAATTATAATATCCGTAACGATCATTTCATATAACGTTTAGACGAAACAAAAAAAAATGAAAATGAAGCCAGAGGGCTTGGGATTTAATTAAAAGTGGGCCTGAGTCAAGTGATCGAGTGGGGTTTGAGTGTAACAATATTTTTACCAAGTTTTTTCAGTCCCATGAAAGATTTCCAGGAAAAATGAAGAAAAAACCCTTCAATCCCCACTCAATCACTATTTGTAGAAAAATTCTCTCTTAGGCAGCGGAAAAATAAATTCACTTCCCTCCCTCCCTTTCCCCCTCCCTTCTCCCTCTACTTAATTCTATATAATTTTATAAAATTTCTATATAAATAAACTTATTCAATTATATATAATTCGAATTTAAAAAAAAATGACTCGCGACTTTTTATCAACGACTTCCACTTTCCGATCCTTCCGCGAATGATCTGTGGTAACTTTGGCAAGAAAAAAAAATGTCTACAATTTCAAAGCGAAAAAAACATATAGTGTATTAAGTTGTGAAGAAAGCAAAAGAGGAAAAGTCGCTTTGATTCTGTGTAAAAAAAACGAAATTTCTATTCAGTCAGACCAAAATTTTCTATAAAAGAAAATTGTGCGAATCAAAGTAAAAAAAAAAAAAATTTCGATCCCACGAGAAGAAGAAAAATCATTTTGTATTTAAAATTTTGTAAGAATCGCGTTTGTTGGCTTTTATTATTATTATTATTATTATTGTAAAATGGAATGATAAATTCGAAATGAAATTTCGAAAAAAAAAACTGTTACTACTGTGTGTCTGTGGTATCTTTATATTTTCTTTTGTTTTTATTTACGAAAAAAGAAAATTATTATTTTAAATTTTCTTGTTTTCTGCGCCAATATGTTGAGGTATGATGAGTCTATTTTTTAGTGACGTATGGGCTATTCAATGAAAAAAAACAGCTTATCAATTTTGCCATAGATAAGAGAAGAATTCGCCAGTAGGATCGAATACTTTTTTTTGTAAAATCGAAAAAAAATTTTTACTTGTCAAAAACAAAAAAGGAAAAAAAAATTGATCAGCCTTTGCGTCACTTTCTATAGAAGAAAAAAAGAAATACGTAAAAAAAAATTCTGTACGTGGACTCGATAAGAATTAATATTGTGATGTTCACTGATCAAACACGTTCAACAAAAAAAAAATGACAAAAAAAAATGAGGAGGCCCACTGGATGAGGCCAGACATTTCTGAGTAAAGTATGAATAATAAACATTATGTAAAATTTATTGAAAAATTGTGACTAATTTATTTTACCCTCTACTTTTTTTACCTTCTATAATTATTTTTCATATATCTATTATTCTATTTTTAATGATTTTTATTTACTTAGAAATTAAATTAAAAACTCGTTCTACTGCTTAGAAATATTCTCACTACTACTTTCGGAACGGAAATAATCCATAAATACTAAGTTCTTCAGTGCTTTCGCTAAGGAGGTGCGTTTGGAAATGAACGCGCAGTCTGAAGTGTCTTCCTTATATAGTTCTCGTTGTGGGGACTCGGTGGGGATGCGCGCCTGTGATTGGCCCTCCCTCCCAGCGCGAAGCAGCATTGCTCAACTTCGCCGCGCACGCTGTTTCCGCTTTCCGGCCGAGCGCCAATCACGAACGTGCATCCCCACCACACTGCAAACTGGATACGTATATAAACTAAGGCTTCTCACCAGAGCTGCTCACTTCGACTGCAGAGTTCACGACGCTTGAATTGAAACTATCAAAGCTTTGTCTTTTTTCCTTTATTAAATACTAGTTATTTACAATTTTTCATTGTTTAATTAATATTGTATTTTTAGTTTAGGAAAATAGCGAGGTAGGTAAATAAATAAATTTAACATTATTTTTTCTCATTAACGTCATTTATTGTTTATAGCTTATCAAAGGAAATTAACAGTAAATGTTTCTTTTTAATTATTGCAAATGGAAGTCCTAAGTACATTTAAAGTGAACACATTTGCTTTTAAAAAAATCGAAATCTTTTCTTTTGGCTTTTCTTGAAAATCAAATATTTTGAACGCTCGAAGAATGTGAGATTTTAAGAGCTATACACCAGTTGAAAACCAATTTTATTATTGTAATTCATTCTTTCGGGTTACAACTGGCGTATAGCGCTGTTGAGAAACTTACTTTCTAAATCCAAAGAATATCATAACAATTTTACAAAAAGAAGATTGACTTAACATCCGAATTTTTTTATTTTTCAAAAATTGTTATGTTAGTTCTTCGGTTATAATTAAAATTGCATTTGGCCCTTCTTTCTTACGTGTCTTTATTTTTATATTATTTGGTATAGAAATATATTTATTAATCTTTAGAGAAAAAAAACTGGAATATAGAATAAGAGAAGAATAATTATTTCAATATATAGTTAAGGTAGGGATGAAATAATAGTTATTTTGCTGTTCAATAAAATATTAGCCACCCCTGATAATTTAATTCTGAGCTATTATAATTGTAAATAAAACTTAAACCTTACTGGACGCTTTTATCAATAATTTAATTCTTTTTTTTTAGTAAAATATAGAAATACTGAAATTGTTTTATGATTCCTAGATGTACAACATTTCTGTAGATTGAAAATGGAAAAACTATCTAATTTTTTTTTCTATTAATAAAGGTTCAGAAAAAACTAGAAATAAAATATCTTTCTTTTTAGTTATTTTCAATTTTCGTTAAATAAAAATTAATAAACTTAATTCAAGTTCGTACAGTAAAAAAGAGACCTTTATCTGAATTCCATTCTCTTTTTTCCTAAAAGAATTTATATCTAAATTTTTTAAATTCGTAGCCAACCGTGTAGATTGATATGCAGTCTTTCGAAGATCATCGATTTTCTCTCTCTCTCCAAAAAGGATGAAACTTGGAAATTTATCTATACCAATAAAAATCGCTTTAATTTTTCTTCCTCTCCTCCAAATTTTTGTAATAATTTTAAATTTTTTTAAAATTCTAAATCGAACTATCGCCAAGGCTCTGTTTCGTCAAACATCCTATCAATATTGTCTCGAAGCATTTTTTCTTGATCTGAAAAATACAAATTTTGTTCTCGAAATTAAACCAAGTTTATTTTAATTTTTAACAAAATATATTTTTTAGAACTATTTTTTTGGCTAAATGAATTTGGAACTCAATTTTTTAACGTAACAATAGAAATTATATTCGAAAATAATACTATGAATATAGAAAGGCGTCTGCAAATAATTAAACAGAACAAAAAAATAATAAATCCTCTTTGATTAACAATAATAATTAATAATTATTACCAGATGTAAGATTTGCAATGACGCATTGTTTACGCAAGAATTCCAAGCACAGATTTCGTGAAAGGCCAAATGCATGCATGTTGCAAGTAAATGTTCTGTAAATAAATAATTATTTTCAATATCAATAGTTTTCGCTTTTTGAAAATTCCCGCCAAGAGTGGCGAGAATGTGAGACCAATCACTACGTCTGACGCAGGTGGAAGGGTGGGGGTAGCTCTGCCTACTTATAAGTAAAAAGCACACTGATTGGTCTCAACGTATGTACCAAGAAAATTTATCTAAAGAGCGTACCCTAATTGTCCAAAGACAATATTTGCTTGAAATTTCCTATCTTCGGCAGCAACTGCTTCTTGATCCAAAAATTTTGGTCTCCGAGGTACGGGACGTACTGCCCGTTCACATTGAACAGCGTCAAAAAATGCCGCTGTCCAAAATCTCATTGACGTCCATATTGGCTGGACCCTTAAATTTGTGTATAAATACTCCCGATAGGGCTCAACACCAGGCACTTGAACTGTAGATTTAAATAAATTTTATTTTCAAATTGTATTTAACAAAAAAAATTCTAGTTTATTTTTCTTTTTAGAATTACCTTCGTGATAAAAAGTGAAGCACATATTCATGAGACTCTTGGCTGGTGCAAAATCGTCAGCTTCATGACATTCGAAAAGTGCGACAGCAAAATTTTGTGCGAGAGAATAAAAAGACTCTTCGGTAACACAAGGTCTGGCCCTTCTGGCGTTAACGACTCTCGAAAACCATATTCTTCCATTTTCTGTCTAAAATTTCGGGAAAATGTATTTTTATTTTATATTTAAATGAGAAATATTGGACGACGCAAACATAATTCTAATGTATACGCTTTGAATGTATTCGAATCGTAATTAAAAGTATATTTATTTTTAATTTAGATTGTAAATGAAAAAATTATTTGTAAGGGTACGGTTCTACTTAGAGACGGCCCTGGCGTTTGATCGACACTACCGGGTTCTCTGCGCATGCGCACCCCTACCAGCGGACAGCGGTTCGAGTGGGGAGGCTCTGCCCCCTACTCCAGAGTATAAAAGCCAGGCGCGCGCGGATCCGACGTCTCATTCTCTCGCATGCAATGCTAATGAACGGTCGTCGAATATAAAAAACGGATAAACAACAGATTTAGGAAATTTCTACTCAGTCTACGTTATTTTTATCTCAGAGTACTTCCTGCGTTAAGAATCATCTTCGTAGAGATTTAATATCACTACCTTAACTAAATTATGACACTACTAATTAATTAAATTAACCGCTAAATAAGGTACCCCATCCGGCAAGAAAACCCTTTCCTGACGCGAACCGTAAAAAAATTTAAATTATCCCTAATTTTTATTACTTCAACTTACTTGCACCATTTGTCCAAAAGTCGCCTTTTGCTCCTGATCAATAGATCCAGGAGCGTCGAACAAAAGTGTAACGAAAAATTTCATAAATTCCGCTGCTGCCTCTTCTGATTGGCTATCGGCCGATAAACTCGAAGCCCAAGATTGAAGAGAACCAGAAGAACCTAAAAATCCAAAAGATTCTATTATTTACCAACTAAAGAAACTCTAATGTTCATAAATCATAACGATAAAGCTAATGAATGAAAATTAAACTAAAACGAGTTCAAAGCAGAATTTTTTTCTAGAAACAGAAGCTAAGTATTTTTTTTTAAATTCAGCATGGCCTACTTTTTTGTATTCTATGATCTAACCTGATCTCTGCCATAATTTTCGACCATCCATATTCGAATCTAAACTAGTGCTTGGACCATAACCGTCTTGATCGCTTGCAGAACCACTACTGCAAGGCATGTCTGAAAAGTTTTCAGTTGCAAAACTTTTTTTCACATAATTAAAAAAAAACAGTGATTATCTAATTTGGTATCTACGACACCATTTGTTTCTTTCCTCCCTTCTACACTAATTGTTCTTATAAATCAAGGGAATGAAAGATTAGACAAAATTACATTCACAGGAATCTATATTTTCTGGATAATATCAGTTAATAATTGTTAAAACAATTGTCAGACTATTAAATTTTCAAATTCAACAAAAGAAACGGATGGGATTAATTTAAAATCTAATATTAGAATTTAGTTTCTCATATCACTACAATTAATATTTTACTTTGTCCAGGAGAAGTTTTCAAATTCAACAGAAAAAAAGAGACACCTACATTCAAACTAAGAATTAAGAGCAATGCTGGAATTAACGTTTTGTGTATTAAAATTAAAATCAATTTTTCTTATTGTAAATGTATTCAAAGAAAGAATAATTGTTGTTTCTGTAAAGTGTCTTTATAGCAAAGTCCGTTAAAAAGCGAAATAAAATTTTCAACAAGATGCTGTCAACAGATTGCTAATTTTCATTTAAACTATATGCTAATTTTTGTTTGTAAAATAAAAATTAAATTAGAACTGAAAAAAGGGTGAAAGTCAAAAAGCTAATGGACACACATTGATACGATTGTTTCAGAACAAAAAAAAACAGAGAGCCACAAGGGAAAGCTTTTGTAAATACATAACAATTTTTTTTTGTGGAGCACACGAACACAGTTAAAGAGATGTCGAGTTACCTAAACGAAAAACGACCGTCTGATAGCGAGTGGGAGCCCTTGCTTTGTGAACACAAAGATACATTTGTTATTCTTAGTTAAATAGAATGTCATTTGTTTTTAGAGGAATGATACTTGAATCAAAATTGGAGAAGGTGAATTTTTGTTTAGATTTAAATAATAAACAATATTGGGAGATGATGCATTTGGTATTTGATGATGGTTGCGCCTCATCAAGTATTTCTTGTAGTTGAAAGTGGAAAATCTGTGGGTTCAGATACCTGGGTTCAATCAAAGGTTAGGGGGTCAACCCCAGTTAACTTCTTTGCGAATTTTACCCAAAACGTCAGCATACGTTTTTCCTTGAGGGACTGGAATGACTAATTTCGATCAATAGGTCTCCCTTTTGAGTAGCTCTTTCTTCTGCAACCTTTGTGTGACTGATGTCTGGATTAACTTCTTTGCGAATTTTACCCAAAACGTCGGCGACTGGAATGACTGATTTTGATCAATAGGTCTCCCTTTTGAGTAGCTCTTGCTTCGTCAACCTTTGTGTGACTGATGCCTGGATTAACTTCTTTGCGAATTTTACCCAAAACGTCAGCATATGTTTTTCCTTGAACGATTCGAATGATCATAGTCGATCCTCTCATCACTAAAGTTTGGAGAACTCCCATTTGCCTAGAGTACAATTTCTTCATAAGGGGAGAAAAGTTTTAATGATGTCAAGTCGCCATCACCCACCTAATCATAACATTTTACACTATTTCGATGTTATATTAAACTAGCAAAAACTTTTATACTGGATTTTTATATTCAATTACATTTTCCATTTTCAAAAGTACCCTTCCTCTAAAAAGCAAATTCTGTTAATTATTTCATGTGATAGGAATTCGTGAATTATGATTGCCATGCATATTTATTACTCAGACGCACATCATGTCGAACATTCACAACATCAAGTTTTTGATGACAAGAAATTTAAATCTCTGAGTACTTGGTAATTTTACTTAGCGTCAAATCGAATATAAATTCTTCAACTAGACGTAAAGTAAAATTTTATTTTAGTTCCATTTTAGAAAAAATTTTGAACCATGTTACCTAGATGGGAATTTTTCGAATTTGATAGGACTGTGATTTGGGAACTTGGAACTTAAATTAAAATCCTACCAGACTGGTCAAATTCAGGCACATGGTTGAAAATTTTCTTTACACGTAGCAAAGTAAATAAAAAAAAGTCAAATGTTTGTAATTATGCACAAACGTTCTCGTGCCCACTGAATTGTTAGGTGCTAATCTAATATATGCCTTACCGGTTTTATAATTTAATTTCTCATAAGGATCTGGACCTGTTGCCTTAATATCCTTCTCTTGAATGGGTTCTATACTTTCAGGACTATCCCTATCAGAGCTTCGTGTTTGATCGTCCTTTTTTACCACTTCCTCTTTTCTCACTGAAGCCGTTCTTGAAGATGCTATTTCCTCATAAGTCATTCCCGGGGGATACTTCCTTTGTGTTCTGATTGTATTTGCACTACTCTGACGTTCTAATTTGTGCCGAGACAGTGCCTCGTAATCTTCGTAAGAAATACCAGCTCCGAATCTGCAGTTAAAAAAGTGCAATAAATGGAGATTTTGACTCAGGACAAACACTCCTATTTGGAGTGGGACCTTTATAATTTCTGGTGAATTAGATTGTAGACGTTAAATGAAATGGAGAAGCAGTTAGTTGCAGTACTGGATTTAATAAACACCAACGTGTGAAGTCAATGAACTTAAATCAAAATAATAGTATTTGTAATTCAACGACTAAGTTAACTACCATACTCCCAAATGGGTAATTCATCAGGGACTGGAAAAGATACCTAAAAAATCTTATGAAAAATCTTTTAGGTGTCTTTAGCCTTTCCTATACTTTGCAGCAACAAATAACAGATTTTACTCATATGCTAGGTAATAACTAAGTCCCTCTTACTTTGCAAGTCTCAATTTTCTTCGACCCAATTCTTCTTCTTTAGCTAAAGCTTGTGGCGAACAGGAAGACTCCGGAGTTGTATTAACATCACTTTCTTCTAAACTATTACTAAGAGCGGATCCAATTTTATTTCCTAATCCTTGAAGGTACTCTCCACCTTCACCTAAAACTGATCTCATTGATCTTAATGCACCTTTGGTACGGCCCATAAACGTGCCTGCATCAGTCGATGGTAAAGCAGTCGTTATGTCCACCATTTTCTAAACAGAAAAATTTATCGAAAATTTCATAACTATTCATTTTAGAAAATTAATAACATTTTCTCAGGGCTATTTAATTGTGGAAATCTGCATACAGATACCTTGGATTCCAAGGTTATGTGGGGTTGGTAAAATAGAAAAGAAAATATAAAATAATATACAATAAATTTCCGTTCCCCTAAGAAATATCTTATCGTAAAGGAAATCCTATTTAAAAGGCAAAACAAAGTTGCAATACCGATTGACCATTAAATTAAAAAGAAATTTTTGAACATAATTATGATTTTGAAACTAAAAAGATTTTTAGAAATACTTTTTAAAAAAGTAAAGCTTAGTTTAAAAAAATAAGTAAATAGAATATTTTTCTATGAAAATGTTAAATGCTGAAAAGCAAACATATACCTATGCGGTTATTCAGTAGCAGCTGCTGCAATGCAGCAGGTTTACACTCACACAAGCACAGTCCCGTCATTAGACATTATCAGCATTGCGATAAGATGACAATATAATTGATTCCTTTTACCTACAACCTTGAAACATTTTGCAATAAAATATTTGTTTGTCCTTGAATTTCACACGTAAATTTAGAATAACAAAAATACTCAAAATTAAGAAATTTTGTTTCATTAATGTTATAACATAAAAATTACTATTAAACCATATTGACAATACAAATGTTAAGTTTTACAAACAATGATACTTTATTAGAAAATTGTGTTTTCAATTATTTTTTATGAATACTAATTATTAATACTATTTATCTGCTTGAATGGTTTGAAAATGAAAAGAAAATCATTTTATAACGAAGTTAAAAATAAATTAAAAACATTTACAACGCAATATTAAAACCGAATTTACTACATCCATTAACAGCTGTCTTCTGTTTATTTAGATCGTAAACTTGTTGCACATATTTACAAAACAAAATCCGTAATTCAATTTTTAGTAACAAAACTAAATCTACAAAAAGTAATCGAATTAATTTTACTTTTTCCTTTTTGAAAAACTTAAAGCTCTACAGAAAAAAATCGAAAATGTGAATTTTATTTTTCCTTCACCAAAAGTTATGAAAAATTTATTATTTCTTCTGTTTTAAAATATTTTTATAAAACTATTATTTTGTTCATAAAAATCAATGTTAATAAAGGCACTTTTTAATGTATATTTATAAGAAGAAAATCGAAAAAAAAGAAAAGGAGAAGAATTTAGAGAAACAAAAACAATCAAGTATAGTGTTACTACCCTCATTTGTAAATAACATGAACAAGACTAATTTTTATCATAATTTTGAGAAATAATTTAATACTTACGTAAAATTGTCTACTTTTTTTCACCTCTCATACACTTTTATCGTTTGTAAAAATTCTACAGACGTATGTTCCTGTTCACTTCCATACTGCGATAACATGTCAACACGTGACAATTACTTTGCGCTTGCGTCCTTGATAATCAATAAGTCAAACTTTACTTTTATAAAATTTAGCGGCATGGAGTAATTATCATCCCCCGTAATAGCAGTCGGTAATTTATCCATTGCTGAGAAGATAATAATTTAAATTTTTGTAATTTTTAAATTTTCATAAAAATTATTTTTATTTTCGTTTACTTCATCTTTTTGACCGAAGGATAAAGTTTAAAAACCGAGTAAAGTATTTTTGAAGAGCCCAAAAATAATGAAGCAATCTACCTTAAAATAAAAGAAAAATGTTGAATTTTAAGAATGTTCGATTTTTGGTGCTAGTGGTCAAAGCAGTTTACAAATTGAAAAAAAAATAATCAATCAAAAAGATTTAAAGAACACCGAAAAGAAAAACCTTTTATCGTCTGATTATTACTCAAGATAAGTACTTTCGTTTGCATTTAGGAATTTAATTGATCGTTCATAAATGTATAATAACAATGTCTGTTATTTCAATTGTATTTTAAAAATGAGAAAAAATTTTATTCTACTAAAAATACGAAAAATGTTATTTTCAATTTTATCTCAAATTGAAGTAATCAAGATAAACTAAAATATTTTCTTCTTTAATAAAGTTAATTTATAAATTAATATATTTTAAAATGCCAGAGGAAACTGAACAGTATTGTCATGTAAATAGAAACAAAGTAAAAGAGTCGAAAAATAATGGCAGTCGTTTTTGGCAATTTGTTTGTGCTATTTGCGGTAAGTGAATAAAAATTATTGATTATAAAAATATTTTTTTTTAAACTTCTATAAAGAATTGATGAAAAAGTAGATTATTTTTTAGTGACTTAGACGGGAAAGATGTTTATTTATTAATTGCAATTACTAAAGTGTTGAAAATTGTTTGCGAGAGAAATAATATTTTTATTAATATTTTAATTAATTTTTTGTAGCTTGCATATCAATGGTGGGTTGGGGAGGATGCCAAGCATGGACATCGCCATCAATTCCCTTCTTGACCTCCAGCTCATCACCCTTTCCCGTCACTGAAGAACAGGGCGCTTGGATAGTCTCAGTCTTCTACATCGGCGATCTTTTTGGCGCCTTTCTCAATCCCTTCTTCATCGATCGTATCGGACGCAAAAAGACTCTAATTCTATTCGCATTTCCAGGTCTAATTGGTTGGCTAGTGGTTATTTTCGCCAAAAATTATCTCTATCTATTTGTGGCGAGAATAATCATCGGTATTGGACAAGGTAGTACCTACAATTCCCTAGTGATATATTTGTCAGAAATATCCGAAAAGAGAATTCGGGGAATTTTGATAAACCTAATTCCAACATCAAACTTTATTGGTCTCTTTGTTTGTACGTCAGTTGCAGCATTTACATCGTATGAATTTTTGAATATTTTCTCAGCCTCTTTGCTTATTATTTTCATCGCCACCACTCCACTACTGATGGAGACACCATATTATTATTTACTGCGCGGACAACACGAGAGTGCAGTGCAAAATTTAATGAAACTTCGAGGAGTCAATGATGCAAGGGAATTGGATTTAGAAATCAGAGAAATGACTCTGACAATAAGAGATCGAAAGTTAAACTCATGGCGTGAATTATTAGTCAAGAAGTCTAATCGCAAGGGACTTATGATCATGTCCTGTATAAAATTGACCCAGATGATGACGGGGATTGGTCCTATTTCTGCCTATGCTCAGGAAATTTTTACCTATACGGATATAGCCATCAGTGCTGGTATTCAAGTAATGATGTTCAATGGAATATCAATGTTTGCATCCCTAACGACTAATGCAGTAATTGATCGATTTAGAAGAAGAACACTCTTTCTATCTACAGCATTAATAAGTTCTTTCTGTCTGGCAAGTGTGGGTACTGTTTTCTTTATGACCCTCCATCTTCAAACCGAAACAACATTCATCAAGTGGATTCCATTGGTGTCATTGGTTATCTTTCAAGTAGCCCATGTAGTTGGAATTGGTACCGTTCCCTATATTATTCAAGGAGAAATTTTCCCTATCAATGTGAAGGGTTCTGCCGTTTCTTGTGGAATGGTTATGGGATCGGTTTTAATTTTCATCACTTCGGCTGGTTACAAGTTTCTAAGTATTCTTGCCGGGGTTTATACGACTTTTTGGGTTTTCGCCGCATCATGCTTCGTATTGTCAATTTTCACCTTCTTTGTTATGCCGGAAACAAAGGGCATGACCCTCGAGGATATTTTGGCCAAAAGAGATCCGGAAATTAGAAATAAACTCGAAGCCGAAAGAAGAAGGTGCTAGGGGGAAGAATGATTAGAATAAATCGAAATTTAATTTCATTTGAAATGTCTGGAGTTATTTAACTGTTTCGAAATCGTGAAACGGTGGGATGGAAATTCGTGCTGCAAGACATAAAAACAATACTGCGATAATCGGAATAGACACGTAGGAATTGATAGTCAAGAAAAAGTGATAACAAAGCTTTAGTTAATAGTTTCTCTTTCGAGAAGCAATACCTAAAGGTTTATTTGTGGAGTTTTACATCAAGAACATCAGGTACGTTGCATATGACAATTGGTATTTCAGGAAATAATCATACAATTGTTGTTGTAGGTCTGGATTATTCAACTACATTGAAATTAACGGATTATTCTAGAGAAAACAAAAAACTGTGGTAAGAAAATTGTTAAAATGTTTATATCAACCCCAAGTGATCCAATATCGGCGGTACAAATGATACCAGTCATCAATTACCTGAACCTACTTAGCGATTTTCTTTTCCTGGAAAATCGCCTCTCTGAATATGACCAATACAAACCGATTCCAATCGTCAATGGTCTGTACCAGTACTTCGAGGATCATCGCTCTAACCAAACTCTGATATTAAAACTTATTCGAAATTTACTACTAGGCAGTGATCTCTACGGGGAAAAAGAGAACGAAAATATTGACGCAGTTTTTGTCAATGCAATGTTTGACTACATCATCAGTTCCCTAGTGTTTGCCAAATACGGAAATATTTACGGATTTCTAATCGACAGTATTCGTCAGGAAGGGGATTTACAACTTGATTCTATTTTAGAAAGGATAAAACAAAATCTTAAGAAAGCAGAATTCGAGAATGAATACGGTAATAGTTCGACTCTTACCGAATTGTCGGTAAGCAGAATATTCAACGACTTGCTAATGCCACTGTTTCCTCAACCTCCTAATGATATCGATTTACTATCTCTTGATTACATTTTCGCCCAAGCTGGTTCAACCTTTTTTCGACTAGGTAGATTAAATTATGCTGAGTACTACAAACCGAAAATTTTCAGCGTGAATAATCATGAAAATCTATTTGACGAATACTTGACATTAGCTCATGTTCTTGAAAATCTGCACTATCATAAACTTATAAATCCTTTTACGTTGAAATCTTTCGCTCTTCCGGCGCTCTTTCACTATGTCACCATGGAAGAGAATCTAAAAACAGTATCAGTAACGAAAATAATATTTGAACCTTTTCATTGGGAGAGAGCTTATGATGGTTTATTCCAGTACATCAAAGATGCTTCTGCCAAAATTGAGAATCAATTAGCAAATGACTATACCTACAAAATGCATCGTGCTTTCTCGGTATTTCAGAGTCGTGCCGCAATGGCTAAATTCATTTTGGATTTATCATGCGAACGTTTAGATGACATTGAACCGAAATCAGAAATGCGGACATATCTCGAATATAGAAAAGAATATAAATGCAACAAAGGTGGTGTTTTAGAGAAAATAGACAATTGGTTCAAGGATCAGCTTCATAACATTGGAGAGGTATACGAAAAGTACGACTTAGGAATGACCCAACAAATATTTAACGAATCTTTTCTAGACGACTTTCGGGGTGTTGTGATAAAACTATTAATCCCCGACAGTAAAGCGATAGACAAAAGTTTTAACAACTCGGAATACTTCTCCTACGATCTGCTCGAATTTTACGACAACAATAATCAATATTCCGACTATTATGCTCTGCTACGTGAAAACTATACCGTCACCCTAATCAGCGAATACGATGAACCGGCACTTTTCCATCAACTAATTGGTCCATCAATAGAGGACATTATCCACAACTCAGATCGTATCATTCTAAAGTACGCCAATGAAAGTATTCAACAACTTTCCGAAGAATTAATGAAATACAAAAAAGCTCGTTTTAAATCATATCTAAATCATTCCGATAACAGTCCAGAGCAAACGAAATGGTGGAAGGAATTCGGCCTATCCCTAGTACCCCACTATCCCTGCTTTTCCCAAATCACCAACTATCGGGACGCTACCGAAAGACTTTGCGACAAAGACGACATCAAATTTCTCAACAAACATACTTCAAACATTTCCTCTCAAATAACTCACAACGCTACAAAAAAACTCCTATCAAACCTAGGGACAACAATCGAAACCGTTTTCATAAAAGACATCATCGAACGAAACGTAATCGATCTTCTTGTATCCAACAATAGATCCGTTTGGTTCCCAACCGACTATGATATCAACAAGGGTAAAATCTACCAGGAATTTGCAACAAAAATTCTTGAACCCACTTTCGAAATTTACAGTTTCGACGAATTGGAAATCAAACTCCTCCTCACAATTATTGATGGTTTGGAAGATAAGGTTACCAAATGGTTTTCTCATATTCAAACAATGCTAAACAATATGAAACTTTTAAAAAACACGAATCCTTTGAAAATTTACGACATCGACAATAAATCCAATCAAACATTGTTCGTTAATACCTGGAATCAAAATAACGGTTTTGGCTATAAATTCGTACACTATCTGAATCATACAAATTTTCAAGTTTCAGCAGCAAAATTAAGAACTGATTTTAAATCCAAGGAGAAAATATTTATCGTACCTCGTCAAAATTCGAAGGGGATTTATATTAAATTCAATAATCAACTTCATGACAATAGGGATAAGATAATATTCATCACTTCGGATTTAGAGGTAATATTACTAAACATCAGAAATGGAACAAGAGATCTAGTTCCTGATAATGGAACAAATGATATAATCTACGAAATTAATAATCAACTTTGGAACGATAATGTCAACGTCACTTTTTATAGAATTTCGTACCACGATCATAATGACGAACTATGTAATTCGGATTACTATCTACAGAAGACGAAACATGAGAAAATTTGTTCGCGACATTGGCGTTATATCGAAAAGACGGATCATGATCGAACGATAATAAAAAATGTACTAAAAAACAAATACGATAAAAATAATTTACTCGAAAATGAAATACGCAATATACTGAGAATGTACACCTTTCCAAATGACACGACACTAATCTATTTTCTCAACAATTGGCTTCAAGACAAACAATTCAAAAATTCCGATTGGAGTAGAAAAAATATTCTCGACTCTTCTGGTTTGTTAAATAAAATAATTTACGATGTTCGCTTGGAAAATAAGGGAATATCAATTACAGATGGTGAAATAAGGATCAATTCAATTTACACCTACAAGGAACGAACTGAAATCGAGGAGCAAAGAACTTTAGAAAATATAATCAATGATTACAATAATCAGAAAGAAGATTACTCCGTTATGTTCGAAGATTATTATGCGATATATAATTTCGTTACGAATAATTACAAAATAAGTTTCGATACTCGTGAAGGGAAAATGATGAGAAATGCTCTATACAAATTGGCAATAAGACAATATGATGATCAATTAGAAGAATTTGATTCCAAACTGTTTTACTTTGAATCCGTTTCATTTGACATTTTCAACAGGATATTTTACCAAAGAGACAAAATTTTCACTTTGCAAAAATGTTTGCTAATGTCAATAAATGAAAAATCTGCTTTGAGATTCGCGGCACAATCAAATTTGGGTTATAAAAATATTTTATATGAGATGAAATTTTTTGGTCCTTATTTGAGAGCAAAAATTGATGTATCAGTTGGTAATGAATCGGAAGTATTTGGAGAAAAAAGAATAATTATCTTTCCTGGTAGTGAATTTCATATTGACAGAATGGCAATTGGACCTTTTAAAGAAATTGGTAACTACTTGAAAGTGGTGTTAACTTTTAAATATCATAATGATCAAAATTATGAATTGTTTAATTTTAATTTTATAAAAGAGATAATGAGAAAGTAATTTAAAATCATTCTTTCTTCAAAAATTAGAAAGTCTAGTTTTTCTAATATTTAATTTTACAAATATAAAATATATTCTACTTTTATGTAATTTTTGAAATTAATAAATTTTGCATAAGGTTAATCTATTGTTTTATTCGCCAACCTCGTCCAAAATATAAATATTTTTTTTAAAACATAAAAATTTTATTCTTCTGTCACGAGTAACAAATAATTATTTTTCATTTTCTATCCTTGAATGATAAAAAAAATACACTTTTACAGAATTTAACAATTTTCAATTTGGTATTAAGTTTATCAAGTTTTTTATATTTTCGAGAAAAATAATTTTCGATCAAATGTTAGTTATCCACGTGTCAGGCTAAAAAGTTTGTCTTTCAATGTGCGCGTTTCGTTAAAGAAAACAAAGAGGTATGTAAATTATTATTTAAAAATAACGAACAATTTTAAAATTTCTGAATTTTTAAATAGTTAAATAGCTAAATTCTTTTACTAAATAAAAGTCTTTGTGATTTTTTTTATTCGTTTTTTCAATTCAATTCTTGTACCCATTTTATTTGCCCTAATGATTAAGCTATAAATTATTCAACCACACGTGTCATATTATTTATAGATCGAAGAGAAACAAAAACTAGTTTCTAAAGTTTTCCAAAAATTGCCTTTGGAAAAAAAATTCTAAAAATGGATACATCATTTTCACCCAATCCGATATCAACCGTACAATTTATACCAGTAATAACTTATCTGAACCTCTTGGGCGATTTTTTATTCTGTGAAAATTTCCTAAACGAAATTGATCAACGAAAACAAATTCCGATTGTCAACGCACTTTATGAGTATTTAGAAAGAAATTACGACAATCTTTCACAGAATTTAAAATTAATTCGAAGTTTGTTACAAGGCAGTGATCTGTACGGGGAGCTAGAGAATGAGGACATTGACGAGGTTTTCGTTAACGTAATGTTAGATTATATAATTACCTCCCTTGTATTTGACAAATATGGAAATATATATGGTTTTTTGGCCAACGTATTTCGTGGGAGGGAACAATTAAAATATTACCATATTTCAAAAACGATGAAAGAGGAACTTACGAATGCAAGATTCGAGAATGAATACGGTCCGAGTTCGTCTCTTAGCAACTTGTCGATCAGTAGAATCATAAATGATATCATAATGCCACTGTTTCCAGTTCCCTCAACAGATCAAAATCTATTGTCTCTAGATTATTCTTTTGCACAAGCCGGTTCACTTTATCTCCGTCTTGGCAGATTGAGTGACTCCTATTATTCTCTTAATGAAAAATTCGATTATCCAGAAGATGAAAATTTATTTGAACAATATATAGCGACTGGTTATTTTGTACAAATACATCATTACCAAAAAATTGATACACCTTATTCGGCACTGCGAGCATTTGCTCTTCCAGTTCTCATCCGCTATATAACAACTGAGGAAAAATTAAACAACGTAGATATAAAAAATTTAATCAACGATCCCTATCACTGGAAAGTGGCATATGACAAATTTTTCCAAAACGTAGAGGAAGCTTTTATGGAAATTGAAACCCAATTATCAAATGACTATACATACAAAATGCATCAATCTTTTTCGTATTTTCAAAATCGTGTCCTAATGGCAGCAGTTGTTTTGAATACATCTTGCGCTCATTTAGATGATTCAGTGAGGAATAATTTACTCCCTTACTATATGCATTATGGCGAGGAAATTCAATGCAAAGATGATGAAGTATTACCAAACATAAACGCATGGTTCCTGAGCCAAATTAAAAATGTTGGTAATGTATACGAAACTTTTGATTTAAACATATTGGGTAATTTTCTTAATGAATCGCCAATAGGAAAACTTCGCGGTGTTATTGTGTACTTGGTAACTCCAAACAATTTTAACCCATCGGAACATTTATCCTATGACTTACTTCAATTTCACGATATGAGTAACAATGTATCGGACTACTTTGCATTAGTATGGGAAAAATATACCGCAAGTCTAAAATGCGAAATTGAAGATCCGGAATATTTTCAGAAAATAATCGGTCCATCTAGGGATGACCTGGTAAATACCGGAAAACGAATTATTTTAAAATCTGCCAACCAGAGTGTTGATGTGTTTATCAACGAAATTGTAAAACACAAAAAAAGACGACTTGAATACTTTTTGACTTATTCTAATACAGATGATAGAGAATGGTGGAAGGAATTCGGTCTGTCTCTTGTGCCATTTTACCCCTGTTTAGAAAACATGGACGAAAAATATGTGGAAGTTCACAAAAATTTGTGTGCTAGAGAAGATATTCACTTTCTAAACAAATATTCAATTGTCCTACCACCTATAATGGACGTCTCATCCCGAAATCTTATAAAATTTTACGGTACAACGGAAAGAGTGGTATTTTTAAAAGAAATTATACTCAAAGTATCGGATCGTTTGTTCAACTTTTCGAGAAAAAATACAAGTCCAGAAGAAATTGCAATAGTAACGAATGAATTTTACAATAAACTAGCCTTGGATCTAGTGGAACCTAAATTCGAATTCTTGTCTTTTAGATCAAAAGAGATGAGGTTTATGCAGAAAGTATTCAGCACTCTACAAACGGAGATAACCCAATCGTTTGAAAGTGTCAACAATATGCTGGATCGAATATCAAACTTACAAAGTTCCTCTAAAATCATAATTAATGAAAATATTAATAATTCAAATCAGTCGTTGCTTGTCAATAGTCGTAACAACATCACCGGTTTTGGTTACAAATTCAAGTACATCGACGAACTGAATAATAAAATCAAAATCGTGGAACTAAGAACAGGTTACGAACTAAAAGAAAAAATATTCATTTCCCCCAGTTGGGATTCATCACAAGGTCTCAAGATACACACCAAATATGACAGTACCCCAAATAATAGTGTCATATTCATATCCTCTACCCACAATTCATCTAAAATTGAAGAATTACTCCTAAAAATCGAAAATGGAACCCTTGTACCACTAAATAAGACAACACAACTAATATATGAGGTTAACAATCAACTTTGGAATACAAGCATTAAAAGTATCTTCCACGGAATTGCGACACATGATCACAACGATGATCTTTGTAATTTTGACGATTATCTACAAACAGCAGGAGAAGTTTGCTTTAGACATGCCCGTTCCGTTGACAGATATGAAAAGAATAAAAAAATAACCCAATTACTATGGAGAAATAAATTCGAAGAGAATGTAATACTTCAGAATCAGATACATGACATGTTAAAAATGTACTTCTTCGAAACTGACACAGCACTATTCAAATTTCTCTCCAATTGGCTAAAAGACAATAACTTCGAAAACTCAGACTGGACTAAAAAGAATATAAAACTTAAGTCTCAACTTTTGTACAAACTATTATATGAAGTATACTTGAATACTAGATTCATCTCAAATTTAACCGCTGAATATACAATAAATTCCAGCTACACATACAAAGATCGTTCCATAATCGAACAGGGCACAACATTAGAAACCATTGTCAAAGATTACACTCATCAAAAATCAGAATATTTGGTTACATTTCAGGATTTTTATGCAATAAGAAATTACGCCACTACTGGTCACATGAGAATAACCTCAGACACAATGGAAGCAAAATTAATGAAACTTGCTTTATACAAATTATCAATAAGACAATATGAGGATCCATTCGATGAATTTCATTTGAACCTATATCGCTTTGATTCGATACCTCAAGATCTTTTTCAGAAACACTTCCTTAAGGATTGGATACATACAGGAAAATTGGTTACTTTTCAAAAATTTACGCTGACATCAACAAGTAAAGAGGCTGCGTTAAGATTTGCCGGATATCCGCAATTTGGTTTTAGAAATATTCTGTATGAAATAAAATTTTCTGGTCGTTACTTGAGAGCACAAATTGAATTTGAAATAAAAAAAATCCAAAGTTTTAAGGAAAGAAAAGTAATTCTTCTACCTGGTTGTGAATTTAATATTGAAAGAGTTGCAATAGCGTCTAGTGAAAATAAAATTGGACAATATTTTCAGATTGTTTTAAAGGCTAAACCGACAAGTTATGATAAATTTAGTGTGTATGAAAGTGTCCTGAGTCAAATTGATAAAATCAATTTATAATTCTTTTTAATCTCGTATACTAAAATTTATTCTAAATTGTATTACTATTTTGAAAAAATAAAAAAATAAACTAATGGATATGCAAATTCATTCTAATTTACTATTATCACTCGTTGCCTTTCCTAATTATTATCCATATCTTCAATATACAATCTGTTACTTGTAAGCAGAAAATTTTAATTATATTCAAAATTTATAAGTCACAACTATTATTTTAATATCCAGGGACATTAAAAATTATTCCGCAGGTGCATCCAATAAATATTTTATATTCGAATCATTAAAATATGTTTTGAATCACGAACAAAAGTACAATCTGTTTGATTAGAAATACTGTTTAAAAATTTTACGACTAGATTTTATTTGGTTCGGATAGTAGTAATAATAAAATTTTTCACTCGTATCTTCAAAAAAGGATAGAAAAAATATGCGATAAGTGAAATACACACGTGTGCATTGATAATTAAATAAAGCGAATGTAATATTGAAAAATTTATATTCCCATCTTGTCAGAAAGTATTGTTTCGATTTTCTGGAACAAAGTCCTACTTGCAGAATTCTGATTTTTAAAGACGAGAAGAGCAACCAGGTGAGAAATTAATTCTGTAAACTTTTATAACAATGATTTTCTTCGATTTAAATACCACAACAATCAATTAACTTTAAGACACAGTTTTACCAAAATTTTACGGACTTCCAAAATTCCTGTAGAATTATTATAAACGAAATAAATTAAGAATTCATAATAGCGGCCAAAATATTTTGGGGTATAGACTTTCATAAAAATAATTATTTTAATTAAATAAGCATTTTTGTCCGTTCGAGCGTCCATATTGGATCGGCCATTTTAAATTTTGAAAGTTGCAATACAGTGGATCCTCTCTTTCCTGTTTATTATTCAAACAGTGAGGTGAGAATCTCTACTTGAAAAATTAGTGAAATCTAACACTCCTTCGAAAACTCTTATATTCCACTGAACTTGTAGCATATTCGTTCAAACCTCAATAATTCAAATTATATCCAAAACCTTCAATAATTTCGCCCAGACTTTCATAAACCAAGAATTCCTCATTTATCATTCCCATCATTGTTGTTTTAAAGGGTCTTGTAACATTTTTAGGAATTAAAATCGGAAGTTTTTAAAAAATTTTTTGCTCATAAGTTTTAATATATAATTGATCAAAAGTTTTTACGTATCATTGTGTATGTTAACAAGTCTTGAAAAAAGAATTTCATATTTGAAAAAACATAAGTATCTTCCTTCTACAGAGGGTGCTTTGGCCACTGGTAAAAATTATTGGTTGTCATTGTAGCTCATAGCAGAATCGTCTAAAATTAAAAAATCAAATTTTATTCCAAAATGGACGACTTAATATAGGACCTAAACCTCTGATTTACTACTTTTGTTCAAAATTACACTTTTTGTGTATCATTTTTGTTTAAAAAAATTGTGTTTTTTCAGATTTTTCGATTCAAAAGCTTGCCATTTTCTTAATTTTTGATATTTTTAAGTATTTCGAAGTTTAGGTCCTATATTAGGTCATCTATTTTGAAATTGTTTGATTTTTTTATATTAGATGATTCTGCTATGAACTACAGTGACAACCGTAATTGAAAGTAATATTTACCAGTAGACAAAGCGCCCTCTGTAAAAGGAAGGTATATATATTTTTTCCAATCTAAAATCCTTTTTTTAAAGCTTCTTAACAGACACAATGACGTAAAAACTTTCGATCAATTCTATTTTAAAACTTATAAGCAAAAAATTTTTTAAAATCATCCGATTTTAGTGCTAAAAAAGTTACAAGACTCCTTAATTAAAAACTTTTAAATTAGCGCGATTTTTCATCCATTAAGGTGAATATAAAAATATTTTTCCAGTTAATACATTTCCACTTCTTCTTTCTCTGTGGAAACAGAAAAGTTACTTAAAAATGGACGCACTTCATTTAAGTAATGCTCTATCAACTGTTCAGGTTATACCAATTTTCAATTACCTGACAATACTAAGCGACTTTTTATTCCTGGGAGATTATCTATCAGAAGTTGATCAATATAAACCCATTCCAGTCGTTAATGGACTTTACCGGTATTTCACGGAGAATCGTTCTAATCAAAACAAGACAATACGATTGATTAGAAAGTTAATACAAGGCAGTGATCTCTATGGTGAGCAAGAAAATGAAGAACCTGATGAAATATTTGTTACCACATTGTTTGACCACATAATCAGTTCTCTAGTGTTTGCGAAATATGGAAACATTTACGGTTTTTTGGCCGACACTATTCGTCGGGCAGAAGATTTAAAATTTGATTCAATTCTAGAAAGGATAGAAGAGAATCTTCAGAATGCAAAATTTGAAAATGAATACGGCACAAGCTCGAAACTTAGCCCATTATCGGTGTATCGAATATTTAGGGACATGATATTACCACTATTTCCTCAACCCCTATATAATATCAATGTCCTATCACTTGATTATCTTTACTCACTAGCTGGTTCAGCATACCTTCGACTTGGTAGATTAAATTCCACGTACTATTCAAATTTCAAACAATTTAATTCAAGTCAATCAATTAATCGCATCTTATTTGAGGAATACTTGTCAATAGGATACATAGTAGAGAAACTTTACTACGAAAAAATTGATCTTATTGCTTTAAAAGTATTTGCTCTTCCAGCACTGATTCACTACACTTTCACAGATGTGAATAGTAAATCAGAAAAGATAACAAATATAATATTTAATCCGAAACATTTGGAGAGAGCGTACAATGTTTTTTTCGAATACCTCAAATTTGCTTACAACACAATTGACAATCAATTGCAAACCGATTACACCTATAGAATACATCGAGCATTTTCAAATTTTATAAGTCGAGCAAAATATGCGAAATTAGTTTTGGATTATAGTTGTAGATTTCTAAATAGTCCTTATCGTGAATCAAGAATTCCTGTCTATCTCGAATTTGTCGAACATTTTGAATGCAGAATGGGTGATGTTTTACCGAACATAAACGATTGGTTCATGGAAGAAATTGACGCATTTGGTGAACTATACGAAAAATACGATTACGAAATGATGCAACAATTATTTAACAATTCATTAACAGATGACGTTAGTAATATTGTGATAAAATTGGTAATCACCAATGACAAGGTAATAAATGAAGATTTTGACACATCACAACATTTCTCTTACGATTTACTCGAATTTCATAACTCCATTACAAATATCATCGAGTATTATGCTATAGTTCGGGAAAATTATACCGCAACATTAATTAGAGAATCTGATGATCCAAAACATTTCCAAACAATAGTTGGTCCTTTAAAAGACAATTATTTACAATCATCAGAACGTATCCTCTTGAAGTTTATCAATGACAGTATAGAAAACCTTTGCCAAAAATTAACGAATTACAAAAAAGAACGTTTTATGTCCTACTTGAATTATTCTGACAACAGTCAAGAAAAAAGTAAATGGTGGAAGGAATTCGGTTTCTCATTTGTCCCCCTCTATCCATGTTTATCAGACATCAATCATTACAGCGAAGTGGGAAAAAAATTATGCGAAGAGGAAAATATAAAATTCTTGAATAAACATCCCGAGATAATATCAACAGATCTAATAAGCAAAAATACACTAAAAATTCTCAACTCATTTAATACAAATGTTGAATCTTTATTCTTGAGGGACACCCTACATTCCCACGTTGGTGCCCTAAAAGTATCAAGTTCCAAGACAACAATAGAATACCAATTATCAAAGCATAACTTTTTTGAAAGATTATCATTGTTCATGGAAACACCAAAATACGAGAGTCTATGGTTTACTGAAGATGAAATAAAATTTATTATAAAAATCATAAATTACTCGGAGGCAGAAATTAAGAAAACGTTCAAATACGTCAAATATGCTTTGTATAAACTGTTAATATTGAAAAGAATATATATCATCAGTGCTGATGATAAATCCAAGGGAAATGAATCCGTATTTATCAGAAGTTGGAATGGTCTCACCGGTTATGGATACAAATTTACAATTGCTAACGAGGCCACAAATGAGACTGCAATAGCGCCTTTGATAATTGGTTACGAATTCAAAGAAGACCAGGAAGATCTCCTACCCCTACGGAATTCATCAATAAATAAAAAAACTTTCATTAAATTTAAAAATAATCTCGTCAAATGCAACGCTGATGATCTTCTATGCAAAATTACCTACCGTCCAAGAAATATAACCACAATTTCGTTTCAGAGTATTTGGAATTACGTTCACAATGACGATAAATGTAACAATGAACACTATTTAGAAGAAAGGAGGAAATCTAAAGTTTGCCTAAGACACAAGACCTTGATCCAAAAGATTGAAAACGATACCACGATATTAAATGAAGTATTAAAAAATACAACTAACAGAAATTCTACACTTGAAAATGAAATAAGAAAAATGTTAAAAATGTACACATTTCCAAATAAAACATCATCAATCTATTTTCTAACCAACTGGTTAAAAGACAAACAATTTGTAAACTCCGACTGGAATAAAGATAATGTTGCTGACAATACAGGTTTATTGAATTATCTACTCACTGGTATATCTATGGACAAGAGATATATAACAAATTCAGAAGCCGAATACAGAATCAGTTCCATTTACAATTATAGAGAACGATCTAAAATTGAAGGTGAAAGACCTTTAAAGGAAATAGTTAAAGATTATGAACTTCAAAAAGCGGAGTACTCAGTTACTTTTGAAGATTACTATGCTATAAGAAATTACGCCACAACCGGATACAGGAGAATTCATCGCGACACCCCTGAGGCGAAATTAATGAAACTCGCATTATATAAATTAGCACTGAGACAATCAAACGATTTTGACGAGGAATATGATATGAAATTATACGGTTTTGATTCGATACCTACAAATATTTTTAAGAAACAATTCATAAAGGATAATTCAGTGACTATGGATTTGGGTAAAAATGTTACATTGCAAAAATTTTTATTAACAATGGCACATGAGGAGTCGGCATTGCAATTTGCCAGACCACCATTAGATGGATTTAGAAATGTTTTGTTTGAAGTGAAATTTTTTAGTTCTTATTTGAGGGCTAAAATTGATGTTCTCGTTAAATCAACAAGAACCATTAGAGAGAAGAGAATGATTATTTTACCTGGTAATAAATTTTTTGTTGAAAGAATTATATTGGTAATTAGTGGCAAAGTGGGTATATATTTTAAAGTCGTGTTAACTTCTACATCGAATGATCATAGCAAATTTGAATTGTGTAAAAATGTAATGAGAGAAATAGCCAGAATTACCAATTTGAATTGATGGAACGTATTTCTGAAATTGTATCGTTTGTCATTCATATTACTTTTAAATTTATGTCAAGAAAAGCTTACTAACTTCATTATAAATAATATTAATAATAATTATAATCACTGGAAAGTGGCATATGACAAATTTTTTCAAAACGTAGAGGAAGTTTTTGTGAAAATTGAAACCCAATTATCAAATGACTATACATACAAAATGCATCAATCTTTTTCGTATTTTCAAAATCGTCCCCTAATTACACCATTTGTTTTGAATTCATCTTGCGGTCACCTAGAGGATTCAGTGAGGAATAATTTACTCCCTTACTATATGCATTATGTCGAGGAATTTCAATGCAAAGACGGTGAAATATTACCAAACATAAACGCATGGTTCCTGAGCCAAATTAAAAATGTTGGTAATGTATACGAAACTTTTGATTTAAACATATTCAGTAATTTTCTTAATAAATCGCCAATAGGAAAACTTCGCGGTGTTATTGTTATTTCGTGAATTCAGACTGGACTAAAAAGAATATAAAACTTAAGTCTCAACTTTTGTACAAACTATTATATGAAGTATACTTGAATACTAGATTCATCTCAAATTTAACCGCTGAATATACAATAAATTCCAGCTACACATACAAAGATCGTTCCATAATCGAACAGGGCACAACATTAGAAACCATTGTCAAAGATTACACTCATCAAAAATCAGAATATTTGGTTACATTTCAGGATTTTTATGCAAAAAGAAATTACGCCACTACTGGTCACATGAGAATAACCTCAGATACAATGGCAGCTACAAGATACAATGGATGTTTCTTTTTCAGAAACACTTCCTTAAGGATTGGGTATGAAAATGAAAGTGTCCTGAGTCAAATTGATAAAATCAATTTATAATTCTTTTTAATCTCGTATACTAAAATTTATTATAAAGTGTATTACTATTTTGAGAAAATAAAAAAATAAACTAATGGATATGCAAATTCATTCTAATTTACTATTATCACTCGTTGCCATTCCTTATTATTATCAATATCTTTAATATACAATCTGTTACTTGTAAGCAGAAAATTTTAATTATATTCAAAATTTATAAGTCACAACTATTATTTTAATATCCAGGGACATTAAAAATTATTCCGCAGGTGCATCCAATAAATATTTTATATTGGAATCATTAAAATATGTTTTGAATCACGAACAATAGTACAATCTGTTTGATTAGAAATACTGTTTAAAAATTTTACGACTAGATTTTATTTGGTTCGGATAGTAGTAATATTAAAATTTTTCACTCGTATCTTCAAAAAAGGATAGAAAAAATATGATATAAGTGAAATACACACGTGTGCATTGATAATTAAATAAAGCGAATGTAATATTGAAAAATTTATATTTCCATCTTGTCAGAAAGTATTGTTTCGATTTTCTGGAACAAAGTCCTACTTGCAGAATTCTGATTTTTAAAGACGAGAAGAGCAACCAGGTGAGAAATTAATTCTGTAAACTTTTATAAAACCACAATAATAATCAATGTTACGTCAAAACTGAAACGTTTTGAAATATACTTATTACAGTTGTGCAAAAAGCTCGAATTTCCGAGCCGAGCCGAACCGAAATTTTTTTGAGCCGAGCCCAAGCCGGCTCGATGTATCGAATACTCGAATTGATTTGAGCTTTTAAATGACAAAAAAAACTATTAATAAGTAGAAAATTTGGAATTTATGCGAATTACTGAATTAATAAGTCAATAAATCTTTAATTTCAAAGTGTATTTCAATTTGCTAATTATAATATATGCGAAAATTATATGATTTTTCTCTAGAACTCGAATTTACTAAAGAGCTCGAAAAAATTCTAGTGCTCGAAATTTTTCGAGCATTTTTGCTCAGTTCGGTAAGGTCAGAATCTCTACTTAAGAAATTAGTGGAGTCTAAAACTCCTTTGATAACTCTTATATTCCACTAAACTTGTAGCATGTTCGTACACGGAAAAAAATTAATCTCTAAATTAGATCTGAGATTTAGGCATAAACTATCACTGGAATCGGACGTAAGATGTAAGCAGATCACTAAAACTGAAATTTGGTATTATATCTAATCCGAATATTATTATTGTGAAGAACACGTATTTCTTATGCCTAAAAATGATATTAGGAATCTCAAATTTTATGACATGGAACATATGTTCTAAACTATCAACTTACTTGAATAAATTCAAATTTAATATATTATTAGAATAAACAATATTAAAAATTTTAGTCGTATATTTATATAATTCGTGTTTTGGTAATAACTCGATGTAATAAGAATTTATAATTTATCATAATTTAGAGTGAGAATTATTTACAAAATATTTATATTGTTTTCCCTGTATGAACTATACATTGACAAGTATAAAAAAGTAGTTGGATATTTTTAAAACACAATACGAATTTTATATTTTTATTTCATTTTTTTGTTTTAACGGCGTTAGAAGGTCTGTAAAATTTGTAGGTTACAATTATCGCCCGACAAAATACGGCACTGACTGATTTAAATGACGTGAAATAGGTAAATAAACATTTTTCAACCACTTTTTCTCTAAACACTAACCGAATATTTACGCACCGAAATCTCGCACGCTAACCACTATGCTACGCTCGCATGGAACTCTCAAACCTTAAATACTCTCAAGTGTCACAAGCTGAAATAAAACTTGTCGAATAACTACGCGTCAATGCTACAGCTATATTTTTATTATTATATAATATATTAAATAATTGTATCTCAATATAATAATATTGAACATAATATTAATAATTTTAATTAATATCTCAATAATAATAAATGTATTATTATTGAGATATTATTAATTAACATTAATATTATTGAGAATTAATAATAAATTATTAACATGAATATTAATATTAACACTTTATTATTAACTCTCAATAATATTAATATTAATTAATAATATAAGTGGACGTCCACATGAAAAGGACCCATTTTGGCGCTATTGAAATTATCTATTTGGGCGTATTCCTGGCAAAATTTGGATAATTTTGAGTGGTCTTAGAACTTTTTTGGTTAAAAATTCGCTGAGTTATGGAATTTCAAAGTTAGAACGCCAAAAACCTCATTTCGAGAAAAACGGAATTAAAAATTGCGATACCAACTAATTGTTGTATCTCTGGTTCTTCTTGGAAGTTATTCAGATAAGAATTGTTTCCAGTTAAGGGCACTTTGGAGATAAAAAACCAACAGGTTTTAAATTTTTAAAAACATACCCCCCCCCTCTTAATTTTGAAAATACGAAAAACCGACAATATGGGCCCTTTTCTAAAAAGGACAGTTTTTCAATTAGAAAACCATTTCTTTACAAGATTAATGATTAGGTACAATTTTATTGTGTCATTTGAAGGAAAAGAATAGATATTAAACTTATTTGAAAGTTTTGGACAGTCTTGATTATAAAAAAATTGACGCAAAATTCAAATTTTTATTTCAACAATTGCGAAAAAAAGATTCTAACATCAATATTTCTGGTTCTTCTCGGAAGTTATTCACATAAGAATTGTTTACAGTCCAGGACACCTTAGAGATGAAAAATCAAGAGGTTTAAAATTTTTCCACACCTCCATTTTTAAAATTGCGATTACTTTTGCAAATGAAAGACAAAATGGGCCCTTTTCATTTTTCTAAAGAACCAATGAAATCAAACAGATAAATTATCGATAAATTAATGAAAACCGCATGATTCGACTTGTCAAAACATGTAGATTGATAATAAAAAATAAAAAAAAATTAAGATTTTGCACCAAAATTACTAAATTGCGGTTATCTCGAAAACCGGAACCGACAATATGGGCCGCCATTTTCATGTGAACGTTTACATATATAATATTAATTAATAATATCTCAATAATATTAAATTTATATTAACCCTCCATCCGTCGCACCTTTTTTTGTAACGCGATCCGTCGCAGGTGAGGGAAATTCTCACCCTCATAAATTAGTCCAAACTTGTTCTAAAATGCCAAATTTTTTTTTGAATGTTCATTAGAATTTCTAAACAACCTATGCGCAGTAAAATTAACTTTTATTTCCTGTTAATTATTTAAATAAAAAATTAATGACAAAGGAAATCGAGTATACGCGGTCAGTCGCATGGTGAGAAGTTCCCTCACTTCGCGTCAAAAATCCCCGACATTTGCTGCTTTCAAATTCAATAACAAAGAAATTAAAATATAAAAAAACACCAAAATTGTTTTAATGTAAAGAAGAAGAGTGCCGTAAAAGGTACTGAGAATATGAAATTATAATTTTTTGTATTTTAAAAGTTATAAATAAAAAAAGAAACTGGGTGAGGGAAATTCTCACCATGCGACGGATGGAGGGTTAATAATATAAATTTATTTATAATAATTATAAAGTATAAGTGCACAACAAATTTTTTTAATTATTTGATTTTAAAAAAAAATCTCAATAAATAATTACTTAATATATTGATTAAATTCATTTATTGATTAATCATTATTTTCTAAAATAATGCAATTAATTATTGTAATAGTTATTTAGTTATGACACATTTATTGAAAATAAATTTATAATGTGACAATAAATGACGAGATCCGCAGTCGGATCCGGCCCATCACCGAGCCAGTACTGACTTAACATATCCGTCGACACTATATATCGTTAGAAGAATAAGACCCGCCGACGGAAGAAATCCAGTACCGAGTCAGTACTGACAATAGTGGGAAGACGGTTCCAACAGTCGGAGCATAATCTGTACCGCGCCGGTTGCTTTTTCAGATTCAAATCGGTGCAGACCGTCGGTACTTGCGGTCAGTACGGGCACGGATCCCAGCCGGTTTTAAACTCCGACATTCGTCCGATTTTCCCGCCTGGGATTCATTCAAACCTCCATATTTCAAATTATATTCAAAAGCTTCGATAATTTCGGCCAGACTGTCATAAACCAAGAATTCCTCATATACCATTTCCATCATTGTGGTTTTAATTAAAAAAATTTTAATTAGCGCGATTTTGTCTCCATTAAGGTGAATATAAAAATATTTTTCCAGTTAATACATTTCCACTTCTTCTTTCTCTGTGGAAACAGAAAAGTTACTTAAAAATGGACGCACTTCATTTAAGTAATGCTCTATCAACTGTTCAGGTTATACCAATTTTCAATTACCTGACCATACTAAGCGACTTTTTATTCCTGAGAGATTATCTATCAGAAGTTGATCAATATAAACCCATTCCAGTCGTTAATGGACTTTATCGATATTTCGAGGAGAATCGTGCTAATCAAAAAAAGACAATACGATTGATTAGAAAGTTAATACAAGGCAGTGATCTCTATGGTGAGCAAGAAAATGAAATACCTGATGAAATATTTGTTACCACATTGTTTGACCACATAATCAGTTCTCTAGTGTTTGCGAAATATGGAAACATTTACGGTTTTTTGGCCGACACTATTCGTCGGGCAGAAGATTTAAAATTTGATTCAATTCTAGAAAGGATAGAAGAGAATCTTCAGAATGCAAAATTTGAAAATGAATACGGCACAAGCTCGAAACTTAGCCCATTATCGGTGTATCGAATATTTAGGGACATGATATTACCACTATTTCCTCAACCCCTATATAATATCAATGTCCTATCACTTGATTATCTTTACTCACTAGCTGGTTCAGCATACCTTCGACTTAGTAGATTAAATTCCACGTACTATTCAAATTTCAAACAATTTAATTCAAGTCAATCAATTAATCGCATCTTATTTGAGGAATACTTGTCACTAGGATACATAGTAGAGAAACTTTACTACGAAAAAATTGATCTTATTGCTTTAAAAGTATTTGCTCTTCCAGCACTGATTCACTACACTTTCACAGACGTGAATAGTAAATCAGAAAAGATAACAAATATAATATTTAATCCGAAACAGTTGGAGAGAGCGTACAATGTTTTTTTCGAATACCTCAAATTTGCTTACAACACAATTGACAATCAATTGCAAACCGATTACACCTATAGAATACATCGAACATTTTCAAATTTTATAAGTCGAGCAAAATATGCGAAATTAGTTTTGGATTATAGTTGCAGATTTCTAAATAGTCCTTATCGTGAATCAAGAATTCCTGTCTATCTCGAATTTGTCGAACATTTTGAATGCAGAAGTGGTGATGTTCTACCGAACATAAACGATTGGTTCAAGGAAGAAATTGACGTATTTGGTGAACTATACGAAAAATACGATTACGAAATGATGCAACAATTATTTAACAATTCATTAATAGATGACGTTAGTAACATTGTGATAAATTTGATAATCACCAATGACAAGGTAATAAATGAAGATTTTGACACATCACAACATTTCTCTTACGATTTACTCGAATTTCATAACTCCATTACAAATATCATCGAGTATTATGCTATAGTTCGGGAAAATTATACCGCAACATTAATTAGAGAATCTGATGATCCAAAACATTTCCAAACAATAGTTGGTCCTTTAAAAGACAATTATTTACAATCATCAGAACGTATCCTCTTGAAGTTTACCAATGACAGTATAGAAAACCTTTGCCAAAAATTAACGAATTACAAAAAAGAACGTTTTATGTCCTACTTGAATTATTCTGACAACAGTCCAGAAAAAAGTAAATGGTGGAAGGAATTCGGTTTCTCATTTGTCCCCCTCTATCCATGTTTATCAGACATCAATCATTACAGCGAAGTGGGAAAAAAATTATGCGAAAAGGAAAATATAAAATTCTTGAAAAAACATCCCGAGATAATATCAACAGATCTAATAAGCAAAAATACACTAAAACTTCTCAACTCATTTAATACAAATGTTGAATCTCTATTCTTAAGGGACACCCTACATTCCCACGTTGGTGCCCTAAAAGTATCAAGTTACAGAACAACAATAGAATTCCACTTATCAGAAAATAACTTTTATGAAAGATTATCATTGTTCATGGAAGCACCAAAATACGAGAGTCTATGGTTTACTGAAGATGAAATAAGATTTATTATAAAAATCATAAATTACTCGGAGACAGAAATTAAGAAAGCGTTCAAATACGTCAAATATGCTTTGTATAAGCTGTTAATATTGAAAAGAATATATATCATCAGTGCTGATGATAAATCCAAGGGAAATGAATCCGTATTTATCAGAAGTTGGAATGGTCTCACCGGTTATGGATACAAATTTACAATTGCTAACGAGGCCACAAATGAGACTGCAATAGCGCCTTTGATAATTGGTTACGAATTCAAAGAAGACCAGGAAGATCTCCTACCCCTACGGAATTCATCAACAAATAAAAAAACTTTCATTAAATTCAAAAATAATCTCGTCAAATGCAACGCTGATGATCTTTTATGCAAAATTACCTACCGTCCAAAAAATATAACAACAATTTCGTTTCAAAGTATTTGGAATTACGTTCACAATGACGATAAATGTAACAATGAACACTATTTAGAAGAAAGGAGGAAATCTAAAGTTTGCCTAAGACACAAGACCTATATCCAAAAGGTTGAAAACGATACCACGATATTAAATGAAGTCTTAAAAAATACAACAAACAGAAATTCTACACTTGAATATGAAATACTTAAAATTTTGAGAATGTACACATTTCCAAATAAAACATCATCAATCTATTTTCTAACCAACTGGTTAAAAGACAAACAATTTGTTAATTCTGACTGGAATAAAGACAATGTTGCTGACAATACAGGTTTATTGAATTATCTACTCACTGGTATATCCATGGACAACAGATTTATAACAGATTCAGATGCCGAATACATAATCAGTTCAATTTACAATTATAGAGAACGATCTAAAATTGAAGGTGAAAGACCCTTAAAGGAAATAGTTAAAGATTATGAACTTCAAAAAGCGGAGTACTTAGTTACTTTTGAAGATTACTATGCTATAAGAAATTACGCCACAACCGGATACAGGAGAATTCAACGGGACACCCCTGAGGCGAAATTAATGAAACTCGCATTATATAAATTAGCACTGAGACAATCAAACGATTTTGACGAGGAATATGATATGAAATTATACGGTTTTGATTCGATACCTACAAATGTTTTTAAGAAACAATTCATAAATGATAGTTCAGTGACTATGGATTTGGTTAGAAATGTTACATTGCAAAAATTTTTATTAACAATGGCACATGAGGAGTCGGCATTGCAATTTGCCAGACCACCATTAGATGGATTTAGAAATGTTTTGTTTGAAGTGAAATTTTTTAGTTCTTATTTGAGGGCTAAAATTGATGTTCTCATTAAATCAACAAGAACCATTAGAGAGAAGAGAATGATTATTTTACCTGGTAATAAATTTTTTGTTGAAAGAATTATATTGGTAATTAGTGGCAAAGTGGGTATATATTATAAAGTCGTGTTGACTTCTGCATCGAATGATCATAGCAAATTTGAATTGTGTAAAAATGTAATGAGAGAAATAGACAGAATTATCAATTCGAATTGATGAAACGTATTTCTAAAATTGTACCGTTTGTTATTCATATTACTTTTAAATTTATGTCAAGAAAAACTTAATAACTTTATTTTAAATAATATTATTAATAATTTTAATAATTATTATTATGTTTTGTTGGAAAATCACTATTATTATTATTATTATTAATATTATTATTATTATGACTATTATTATATAAATAAAATGAGATAAAAACCTAACGATTTATTGTACTTTCTGGTTCTCTTTTTATTTCTAATGAATAGTAATTTAAATTAATGGTTAATTGAAGTTAAGTTAAGGGATTAATTAGGTTATTTTAAGTTTAGTTAAGGGTAAAAATTTATTAATTTAACTAATTTTAAGAGCAAAACTTAGTAATGTTAATTAAATTAACAAAATTTTTAATATTAGTTTATGACAAGAAAGAAAATTATTATCGCAAAAGGTAAGTCATAATTGTTTTAAACAAATTTATGTTTTGGAAGAAAAATATTTTATACCGATTTCGTTACTACATACAAAGTAATAAATATATTTTTTAGCATGACTTTTTTGCAGTAAAAAAATATTTCATGACTCCAATATTGCACGTGTTTAGAATCAAGAATAATATTAAAATTCGTTTAATAGTTTTCATGCTATGCGATGATAATATAAAAAGATCAGATTACACACGTGTGTAGTTTAATAATAAAATGAATAAACTTTGAATTTTAAGTATTATTAAAATTTAAATAATTTATATCCATTTTCTGAGTTAAAAGGAATTATCTATATTGTTATTCTTGAAGTTTGTGAAAAAAGAATTTAAGGTATGAGTCTCATTAATTTTAAGCTGTATAAAATATTTTTTTTCAAACATTTATAAGATAATAATAATAAAATTAATTAATAATTACCATACCAATTAATTACCTAATTACCATCTTATAATAATTATTATCACGGAAAAAACTAAGTTACTATCTTATGATATTACAATAAATTTGTACTAAGCGTTGAAAAGTCGTGTGCTTGGTTTCTGAAATTAATGATATCGGATCTCTCTGTAGCTCAATTGGTTAGAGCATCCTACCGGCAATAGGAAGGTTCTGGGATCATACCCCAGCGGTGAGAGACGATTCATTTTTTTCAGAAACCATGCACAAAAAATAATATATATTAAAATGTTAATTTCTGTCTTATCGATATGATAAGTAAAATAATTCAACCATGCACAAAAAATAATATATATTAAAATGTTAATTTCTGTCTTATCGATATGATAAGTAAAATAAATATCCGCTAGATGACACCTAATTACCATCTTATAATATTTATAAGATAAATCTTAATTGAAATGAACAAAAAATATTTTTTGAATGCGTTAACCCTTTAAGGATCGACTTTTTTTAAGTGATCCGATTTTCGTCATACCCTGTACTTAAGGGTTTTTGGAGTCGCCAAGTGGTAATTATCAGGGGCCTAGTTCAATTTAAAATTTCTTTTGTCTGCCATATTGGATCCTCCATTTTGAATTTTAAAAAACTAACATCAGATTTGTAATCAGCGACCCCGAAAAACCCCGAGTAGAAATTTTCATGAGCAACGTCGGTAGAGGAAAATCTATTTAATATAGTTTTTGTTTATATTTTTAAGGCAAAGTACCAAAAATGGATTCATCACTCTCAATGAATCCTTTAGCAAGTGTACAACTTATACCCGTCATTAATTATCTGAACCTTCTTAGTGATTTTCTATTCGTAGAAAAATCCATATCGGAATATGATCAACACAAACCGATTCCAATCATCAACGGTCTGTACCAGTACTTCGAGGATCATCGCTCTAACCAAACTTTGATATTAAAACTAATTCGAAGTTTATTGCTAGGCAGTGATCTCTACGGGGAAAAAGAGAACGAAAACATTGATGTAATTTTTGTCAATACAATGTTTGACTACATCATTAGTTCCCTAGTGTTTGCCAAATACGGAAATATTTACGGTTTTTTAGCCGATACTATTCGTCAGGAGGAGAATTTACAGTTTGATTACATTTTAGGAAGAGTGAAAGAAAATCTCAGAAAAGCAGAATTCGAAAATGAATACGGTAATAGTTCGACTCTTACGGAATTATCTGTTAGTAGAATATTTAACGACTTGCTAATGCCATTGTTTCCTGTAAGTCCCTATTACATCAATTTACTGTCTCTTGATTATATTTTTGCACAAGCTGGCTCGACGTTCCTTCGTCTTGGAAGATTCAATGAAACCTACTATACGAATTTCCAAAATTACACAACAATCAACTTTGATGATGGTGACATTTTTAATGAATACCTCCTAATAGGTTGTATTATAGAAAATTTACTGTTTCATAAAGTAATGGACCCTTTAGCTTTAAAAGTTTTTGCCCTTCCAGCCCTATGTCACTACGTTTCAAAGAAACAAGAAACAAAAAATGAAACAATAGAAAAAATAATTTTTAATCCTCATCATTGGGGGGCAGCATACGATTATCTTTTCACCTACCTAGATAATTCTTTCACCAAAATTAAAAATCAACTTGAAAACGATAGCGTACATCAAATTCACCAAGTGTTCACAAATTTCCACAGTCGTGCAAAATTTGCTAAATTAGTTTTAGATTTAAAGTGCAAATTTTTAAACGATCATTATCGTGAAACAAGAATTCCCGTTTATATCGATAATGCCGATTATTTCAAATGCAGAAGTGGTGATGTTCTACCAAACATAAACGACTGGTTCAATGATCAACTCCATAATATTGGGGAGGTATACAAAAAACACGATTTAGAAATTACACTGCAGTTATTTAAGGATTCTTTTGCAGAAGACCTTCAGAATATTGTAATAAACTTGGTAGATGCCACTAACAATACAGGGATAGATATTAATTTTAATAATCAACAATATTTACCTTACGATTTACTCGAACTTTTCGATATTAATTATCCCGTTCCTCACTATTATGCTTTAGTTCGAGAAAATTATACTATCAGAATTATCAGTAAAAACGAAGAACCAGAACTTTTTCATCAAACAATTGGTCCATCCGAAGAATATATTCTAGAAAATGCACACCGTATTACTTTAAAGTTTGCCAACGAAAGTAAGCAACAATTTATAGACGAACTAATAAACTATAAAAAAGATCGTCTCAAGACCTATTTGAATTATTCCGAAAATAATCTGGAACATGACGAATGGTGGAGAGAATTCGGACTGTCCTTGATACCGTACTATCCCTGTTTGACAAACATCACCAATAACTATCAAGAAATCAACAAATTTCCCTGTGAAAAAGAAAATATCAAGTTTCTCAATAAACTTCAAGATTCCTCGCATTTAATAAACAGAAAAACCCAAAATCTTCTATTATCCCTTGGTACAAATCTCAAAACAGTATTTATCAACGACCTGATAGATGGAAGTGTCCTAGATGAATTAGAAACAGTCCACAAAATAACTTTATCCTTCTTAAAATTTACCACACCCGTGAATAAGATTTACGAAAAATTTTCCCAACACATCGAAGAGCCTAATATGGAAAATTCGTGCATTACACAAGAAGGAATAAACTTTGTCTCAACAATTATTGACTTTTTGGAAAGAAATATTAATCAATCGTTTCCAAACAGTAAACGTATGCTTTTGAAAATGCAAGTTTTAAAAACCAGGTACACCATAATTGTTGGGAATATTACTGAAGAATTAAATCTATCATTGTACGTTAACAGTTGGAATAGAAATGTTGGTTATGGTTACAAATTTGTGAATATTAGAAATAAAACTAACGACGCAATTATCTTGGCACAATTAAGAACTAGCTATGAGTTAAAGAAGAAAATATTCATATCACTAATTTCCAATTTATCGAAAAGTAACGAAAAATTATACAGGAACTACAATGACGAAATTTACGGAAATAAGAATAATGTAAAATTTTTGAAGTTTTCGGAAAATTCATCGAAACTTGAGGAAATATTACTTAAATATGAAAACGGAAAACTTGTTCCAGTCAATGATAGCGAAAATTTAATCTATGAAATTAATAATCAACTCCGACGAGAATATATTAAAACTTCGTTTTATGGAATTTCGATCCACAATCATGATAATAGTCAATGTATGACAGATCACTATTTGAAGAAAACCAAATATTTTCGTATTTGCACAAGACATTGGCGACATTTAACAAGAATGCATCAAAATCAAATGATTGAAAACGAATTACTAAAAGATAAAATAGATCCAAATAATTTACTCAAAAGTCAAATGTTCAACATTTCAACAATGTACAACTTTCAAAATGACACGGACCTCATTCATTTTCTCAACAATTGGTTAAAGGATAAACAATTCGAATTCTCAGTTTGGACTAAAAACAATGTTGTTGACAAATCCGGTTTACTAAATAAACTTTTGTACGATATTCGCTTAGAACTTGAGAATGTGACAATTCCAGATGGAGAAAAAAGAATCAATTCTATTTACACGTATCGAGAACGATGCAAAATTGAAGAGGAAAGAACCCTGGAGGATATAATTAATGATTTTAATGATCAGCAAGCAGGTGATACGATTACATTTGAGGATTACTATGCGGTAAGAAATTTTGCCATTTCTGGGTACGAGAGGATAACGAGAGGTACACGTGAGGCGAAATTAATGAAAAATGCTTTATATAAATTGGCAATAAGACAATCTAACAACGTCAGCGAGGAATACGAATTGAAACTATTTTATTTCGATTCAATGCCGGTTGATACCTTTCAATATCAATTTATTAAGGATTCACAAGATATACACTTAGGTAAGTCAATTATTTTGCAAAGATTTATACGAACATCGGGTAGTGCACTAGCTGCAAAAAGAATTGCTGGACATCCACTGGATGGTTTTAGAAATATTTTATATGAGCTTAATTTCTATGGTCCTTATTTAAGAGCAAAAATAGAGATTTCCGTCAATGGAACTGAGAATTTGAGGGAAAAAAATGTAATTCTTCTTCCTGGTAGTGAATTTCAGGTTGAGAGACTGGCAATAGTGCCTGGTGAAAAAATTGGTCAATACTTTAAAGTCGTATTATCCTTTAAACCAAAAATTAATGACAAATACCATATGTTTAAGGATATTATGAGACAAATGGATAGAAGCAATTAATATTAAAAATATTGTAATCATTCAATTATTGTCAAGTCTTCTTTTGTTGGCTTTCAAATAAATTTTCTCTCATAACATTCGGTAGGCTCATTGATTTATCCTCATCCCAAATTAGGTTCATTTAAAATTAATTTAAAACAAAAAAATAAGGCAAATTTTGTCTTCAATTTTTATCTAACAGTAGCTACTACAGATAAATAGAGATCTGTTCTAAAAAGTTATATTTCTTATCTTAAAACTTTTCTTATTTAACGTATCTAACATGAATATAATATTATTTTTCTTTTTTTTCTATTTCTTTATCACAGAATGTAAGTCGTGTCTCAAAACATTTTTTATTATTACTGACAATAAAAATTTACAGAAAAAAATATTTTTTAACTTTAACGTTGCAGGTGAAGATTACGAACTTATTTATATGATCTATTGTTTATTATGAGTTCCCCATTTTTTAATTTAAAATGCAAGTGCAATCGTTCAAATACAATTAAAAATTCCAGCTTTGAAAAAATATAAAATGTTTTGCAATAAAACAACATACACGTGTTATAACAACCAAGTGCAGTGACAACTGAGAGACATTAAAAATTTATTTAAATACTTTTGAATTTTACTAACTGACAAGTTGCTGCCGTTTACAGGAAACACCAGGTAATTGTCTAATTTTTTTCCTAATTTTGATCAAAACATCATTAATTCAACTAGAGAAATCTATTCATTTCTCTAAAATTTTACCTAAATAGTTCATTCAAGTGAACTAATTATTTACTATCATAAATAATATTTTGGGAGGACTAAAATCAATCCTTATATAAAAAGAGTAGATATGCAAATTTGGTAAAGGATTAGCAGTAATTAGTGAGGAAGAGTAAGATTTTTAGACAAAGATAGTCTTATGTCATTTTGAATTGTCAAGATAGAGAAATACAATGTTAAACGAAGAAGTTCTTATTTAATATTCCAAATGGTGTGAGAAAGAAAGATTTCCGTCACCGCCTGAGTAACGTTTTAAGTTTCATACTTTTATCTATAGTCTTCCATGCGATGAAAGGAGAAAAAAACCTGGGTTCTCGAAGTTAATTCTCATTTACAAAGGTTATTGTTTAAGGGTTCGTATTGTTTGTGGTAATCCTTCGTGACGAGTTATGTGAATTAGTGTCTGTTCTCAAATTAACTGAATTATTACTTTTGACAATTTAAAACATTTCTTTGAAAATCCTTCCCATTGTAACGTCTTTCTGTTCCTAAACTCTTTACGTTATTAAAAACCAAACAATCATCTATTTCAATCAAAAACTTCAACATATCCTACTTTCAGATTATCTAACTAAACATTCTCCAACAATGGATACGTTAGATTTGACAAATCCTTTATCAACTGTACAACTTTTACCAATAATCAATACCAGTCCACCAACAATGGATACGTTAGATTTTATATATCCTTTATCAACAGTACAACTTATACCAGTCATCACTTATCTGAACTTACTAAGTGATTTCCTATTCATTAATAATTATTTATTAGAAAATGATCAACACAAACCTATTCCAATTGTTAATGGACTTTATGAGTACTTGGAAGATCATCAGGGTAGTCAAACTATGATGTTGGATCTAATTCGAAATTTGCTACATGGCAGTGATCTGTACGGAGAGTACAATAACGAACAAGTTGATCAAGTATTTGTGAACACAATGTTTGACTACATCATCAGTTCCCTAGTGTTTGCCAAATATGGAAATATTTACGGTTTTTTAGCCGATACTATTCGCCAGGAGGAGAATTTGCAATTTTATTATATTTTAGAAAGAGTAAAAGAAAATCTTAGAAAAGCAGAATTCGAAAATGAATACGGTAATAGTTCGACTCTTTCAAAATTGTCCATTAGCAGAATATTCAACGACTTACTAATGCCACTGTTTCCAAAACCAATGATGACTAATCTCAATTTATTGTCTCTTGATTATATTTTCGCTCAAGCTGGCTCAATGTACCTTCGACTTGGAAGATTAAACGAAACCTACTATTCGAATTTCGAAAATCTTACCTCAAGTAACAATGACAATGATATTTTTCAAGAATACCGAGTAATAGGATATATTGTTGAAAATTTACTTCATCACAAAATTATAGATCCTATAGTGATAAAAATCTTTGCTCTTCCAGCACTGTTTCACTACGTTTCAAAGGAGCAAGAAACAAAAAATGAAACAATAGAAAAAGTAATTTTTAATCCACACCATTGGGAAGCAGCTTACGATTATTTTTTCACCTACATCGAGAATGCTTTCACCAAAATTGATAATCAACTCAAAAACGATTACACACATCAACTTCACAAAATGTTTACTAATTTCCACAGTCGTGCAAAATTTGCAAAATTAATTTTAGAATTAAAGTGCCAATTTTTAAACAAACATTATCGTGAAACAAGAATTCCAGTTTATATCGATAATGCCGATTATTTTGAATGCAGAAGTGGTGATGTTCTACCAAACATAAACGAATGGTTTGCGGATCAAGTTCATGATTTTGGTGAGATATACGAAAAATACGATTTAGAAATGACAACAAATATATTTAATGATTCGTTAATAGAACTTCGGGGTATTATAATAAAATTAGTTCTCACCAGTAATAAAGTTAGTGACAGTACTTTAAATAATTCCGAATATTTATCGTACGATTTACTCGAATTTTTCAACACTAATAACCAAACATTAGACTATTATGCTCTACTTCGTCTAGACTACAGTGTAACACTCATCAAAGAGTCCGATGATCCAGTAAATTTTCAAAAAATAATTGGTCCATCCTTAGATGATTATAAACGTTCCGCTAAACGTATTATTCTAAAATTCGCAAACGAAACTACACAACAACTTAGTGAAGAATTAATGAAATACAAAAAAGATCGATTTAAATCTTATCTTAATTATTCGCAAAATAATTTTAATCATCACGAATGGTGGAGAGAATTTGGACTATCTTTGCTACCACACTATCCCTGTTTAACAAACTACACCGAAGATTATCATGAAATTGAGGACTATTTTTGTGAACGGGAAAATATAAGATTTCTCAATAAATTTCAAGAAGATGTATCTTTAAATTTAATAGACAGAAAAACGAAAAGTCTCTTACTCTCCTTGGGTTCGGATATCAAGACAATATTTATCAATAACATAATAGACGAATACATAATTGATGAGATTGAAAGAGCAAATGGTATTTTAATACCTTCTTTGAAGAAAACAACATTAAAGACAGTTTACCAAAAATTTTCACTACAGATTGAAGAACCCGAAATGGAAACATTGGGTACTACACAGGATGAAATAAAATTTATGGAAAACGTAATTCTCCATTTAGAATGGAAAAGTAATCGATTCTACATGAAGGTGAAGAACATGTTGATTAAGATGAAAATTATGAACGTTAAATATCCTTTAAAAATTGGTGAAATTAAGGATAGGAAATTAAATCATTCCCTGTTTGTCAACAGTTGGAACGGACTTAGCGGTTATGGTTATAAATTTATTGGAATCAACAAGAATGATAATAAAACCCCAATAATAGCACAATTAAGAACTGAGTACGAATTTAAGAACAAAATACTTATAACCCCAATTTATGACTCAGAATTGACGAATTCGTCGAAAAAGGAAAAAGAATACATCAAACTAAATAACGAGATGCTTGAAAGCGAAAACGATGTACTATTCATCGTATCCATTCAAAATTTGTCAAATTTTCAACAAATAACTCTTAAAACGAATCAAGAAATTCTACGAACTGGAAATAAATCACAAGATTTAGTTTATGAACTTGATAACCAACTTCGGAGAAATATAACTAAAATTTCTTTCCACGGAATTTCGTATCACAATCATAATGATGATAAGTGTAACGTTAATGCCTATTTACAAAAAACGAAAGACTCTAGTCTCTGCTCAAGACATTGGTGTTATATTGATAAAACAGATCATGATCGAATGATAATTAGAGATTTATTAAAACACCAAAAAGATGAAAATTTAGTACTTGAATACCAAATACATGAGATATTGAAAAAATACACATTTTCAAACGACAGTACAATGAGATTTTTCTTCAAAAACTGGATGAATGATAAACAATTTAGAAATTCGTATTGGAGTAAAAATAATATAGTGGATAAATCGGGTTTGTTGAATAAATTATTGTATGAAACGCGTCTAGAGAATGGAATTATAACAAATACGAAAGGAGAAATGAGAATCAATTCTATTTACACCTACAGAGAACGATACAAAATCGAGGATGAGAGAACTTTGGAAAATATTATCAAAGACTACAATGATCAACAAGCGGATTATACGATAATGTTCGAAGATTATTATGCTGTACGCAATTTTGCCACAACTGGTTACAGGAGAATAAATGCAGATACTCGTGAAGCGAAACTAATGAAAAATGCTTTATACAAATTGTCAATAAGACAGGCACATGATTTAGAGGAGGAATTTGATTTGAAGTTATTCTACTTTGACTCTATACCGATAGATATATTTCAAAGAGAATATATGAAGGATTTACAAGATATTTATTGGGGAAAATCCATTATTTTGCAGAAATTTACTTTGGCGTCGACAAATGAAGAATCTGCTGTTAGATTTGGTGTACATCCGGAAAATGGATTTAAAAATATCTTGTTTGAAATGAAATTTTATGGTCCTTATCTTAGAGCAAAAATTGATGTTGAAGTGAAACATACAGTGTCTTTTAGAGAGAAGAAAGTAATACTTCCGCCTGGTAGTGAATTTTTTATAGAGAAATTGGGAACGGGACCTATTAAAAAAATAGGTAATTACTTTAAAGTTACTTTAGTTTATAAACTGAAATATTGTGAAAATTATAATCGATACAAAGATATTATGACTCAAATAGCAGAGACGAAATTGTAAAAAATTTCAATCTTGAATAAGTTTGAATTAAAATCATTTTAATTATTCTTTTTATTTTTTGATATTTTAATTTTCACTTTAAATATTTTTACTATTAATATAGTAACTACCAACCTCCAATCTGACCTTCGAACTATCCACTCTTGGTGTATTAAAAACAAATTACCCCTAAATATTTCTAAATGTCAAATTTTAACTTTTCACAAATCTAATTTTTCCTTCCTTTTTCCTTACCAAATAAACAACACTTTTCTTTCTCGAGTAACATCCACACATGACCTTGGCGTAACTTTTTGCTATGACTTAACTTTTGACAAACATATAACATCCTTAGTCTCTACTGCTTCTCGAATGCTGGGTTTTCTCATCAGATCCAGTAGAAACTTTAGTAACGTGTCAACTTTTACCTTATTGTTTAACGCCCTGGTACGCTCTCCGGCAGAATATGCTTCGTTAATATGGAATCCCCATACTATAAAGAGTGCCAAGTCTATTGATAAAATCCAAAAACGTTTCTTAAAATTCCTAGCTTTTAAGGAGGATGGTCTTTACCCCCCCCCACGAGGGTGTGATTATATTGCACTGTGTGAACGTTTTGATTTTTTGACTTTAGGAGAACGACGCATAATCAATGCAACTATTTTTGTATTTAAAATCATCAACTATCACATTGACTGTAGAAAACTACTAGACTTAATTAAATTCAGGACCCCTTGTATATCATCCAGAGATGTTTCACCATTTTATATTGACCAAAATGACTTAATTTGAATAAAAAATTCTCCTATCTTTTTTGCGTGCTATCATATAAACCGAATGTATAATTCTTTTCGTCCAAATATGAACTTATTTGTAGCGTCACAATCTAAATTTGCAGAATGCGTAAAAAACTTTGTTGTCAGTCTACGAGAGCACAACTGATCACGTCACTATTAGCTAACATATTTTTTAATTTTATTTTCTGTTTTATTTTGTTTTTTCTCTCTTTAAGCAGCTTAGTTCTGTTTGTATTAGCTTTTCTAAATAATATTTTAATATTTAACTATTAATATTTTAACTTTTAATTTCAATTGTTGCAAATAAAAAACTTACTTTTTAAAAGTAAGTACGTCTAAGTACATTTATTTTTCCTACTTTCTTCGATTTAATGAAATTAAATTAATTGAAACAGATTCTTTTCTTGTATTTAATTTAAAATGAGATAAAAAGATTCTTTACCTCACGCGACCGGGATCGTCGGCGATGAGGGTTCAAAATTAATGTTACCTGGCCCCAGTCGACAGAAAATAATATTTTCAAATCCAAAAATATTCTTTTTGTTTTCCTAGCAACTTTGTACTTATGCAACAAATGTTGCATTTTGTTAAAAATCCACGGAACAATATTAATAAGCACAAAGACATACTTGTTATATTATACAAGATAAGACTTTATAATGTCAGTGTTGCTCCTTTACAAGGTTACCACAAATAGCACACTGCTTCTTTAAAATTTTTAATTGATGTTAATTTAAGATTTCTTTACCTTATCATATTTCTATTCCTCGACAATTTTGAATCAAATACTTCCAGCCGTGAATCTGTAAAAAAAATATTTAGAATTATTTTCACACTCAATAGAATAATCCCAATAGAAAATAAAAAATAAATATCGAAAATGATATTAAAATTTGCTAAAAATATCTTTGGAAGTATAAAATAAATCGGATTAAAATTAAGATATTATACGCCTAAAAAAAGATTAAAAGACAACAATTTAAACAACAACATACTGATAGGATAATAATAAAACTCGAAACAGCTACTAAAATTGATATTTATTAAAATGCAAAATACAAGACATCATATGCAGTGTTAACATTCGATAATCTCTTATTCATTGAATAAATTAAATTTTAAAGTAATAATACCTTAAAAAAATTTAATTTATCAATTAATAAACAGTACGAGACTTCATTTTCCAAAGTATATGTTAGAATATGTTAAAATATGTTATAAAAATTTATAAATCAGTCTTGGGACGTTTCGCAACCCATTCTTTAATTTGAGGAACAGCGAGGACCGTCTCCTTTAATTTCTTTAAATTCTCATAGTCCTCGATGATGTCATACTTAGCCATGTAGTTCAAATAATCTAAAAGTGCAACAAATGTTAAGTCAGCCATTGAAAGTGATCCACCAACGAAGTGACCGCCATTCTTCTTAACTTGTTCCTCCATTCGTTTCAATATGTACGGAACTGTTTCCTTCATGGTCTTCAATTTTTGTTCTTTTGCCTCCTCATGGGATTCATAGCTGTAAGCGGCTATTTCTAAAAAGATCGAAAAGATATTTTGAAAGTACTTCATAAAAACATTTGTCAGAGTGTTTTTTTTAGAAATACTCGCATTTTCGCATTGGGTTGGAGTCGAAATTGAATAAAAGCAAATTCCTTGGGTTTCTTTTCTTTCTTTTTGAAAGGATCGTGCCAATAGAACGTAGATAACAGTTTCGGATATTTAAGTTCTTTTTTTGTTATCGTGGATACGAAATAAATAAATAAAAGGTCACTCGAAGATCATTGTTTCCGATTTTCAAATAATTTGCGTATTTTTGATAGAAGAATATTCTTTTACACCCCTTTGTTCATTTTCAAAAATAATTTGTATTTTTAAAATAACCGAAAGTTGAATATTTGATTATGGATTTTTCATTTCAATATTATTCAGAAACGAATTAAAGTAAAGTAAATATTTTTTAACTAATACTTAAAGTCTAATAATACAATCAAACCGATTGTTGAATTTAAATTAAGTTAAAATTAAATTGAATTGAAATACAAATTTAAATTAAATTTAAATAGTTTTCGATTCTTTAATTTCAATTTTATTCTGCTTATATTTGTATTCTGTTGCATAAGATTTCCGCTTATCTTTTTTACAAGATATTGAAGATTAATTCTAATCGATTAAAATAAAGGCTCTTAGCAACAATGAATTTATTATATAAAAACAGATTTGTTTAATGCTTCATAGCAATCGTTTTTCAAAACAAATTTTGAAAAAATAAAAATTCCTATGTCCCTTGCATACCGGGAAAATAAATAAAAAATTATAGTTTCATTTCAGTTTCATAAAATTTACATTTAAAATTCTAAAATTCAAGCATATTTTTATTTGGATAATAAATTTTGAAAATTTTAAAAGAAATAATATAGTATATGATACAAAAAGAGTAAATACTCACTTGCACGAAGATCATGAATAGTTTCGACAGCAGCATCGATTTCATAAGCTTCCATATCATTTTTTCCAGCAAGTCCGCATTGTTTAGCAAAATAACGGCAAATTGCATTTGATTGATGCATTTGCTTACCGTCAACTTCAAGAACAGGGACTTGACCATAAGGCATTTCTAAAAGAAATAATTTTTTTTTTTAATTCTATTTCCATTGATAAACAATTAATAATTTTGTTCCTCACATTTCTTTTCAATAAATTTTTTATAATTTATTTATTAATAAAAAACTAACTGTTTAATTTAATTAACAAAAAATTACAATTTCATTTAACTAGGAAAAAATTAGTTTAAATTAATTAACAAAAAATTACAATTTCATTTAATTAGGAAAAAATTAGTTGCAATTAATTACCAAAAAATTTAAATTTCATTTAATTAGGAAAAAAATTAGTTTAAATTAATTAACAAAAAATTACAATTTCATATAATTAGAAAAAGATTGAATTAAATTAATAAATTATATACAAAAATTTATTTTAAGATCGAAAAAAATACTTACGATCTTTCAATTTTGGCCAATTTTCACGATCGAAACGATCATCTTCGAATTCAATTTTTGCATAGCTCATTACAAATCGAATTGGCTCTCCCAAAGCCTTGACTGGGAAGTAGGTTAATTTGTAGTTCGGCATTTTCTGAAAAAAGAAAAAAAAAATTTTAATCTGCTTCTAAGTAATTAAAAACTTCAATTTTCAAAGACTAATTTTTTTGTACTAAAAATAAAATGACTGAATAAAAATTATTTTAAAAAAATGCCTACCAATGCCGGGACCATAAAACTTATCTTTAAACAAAAAAATTTTAATTATAGGTAAAAATTTCGAAACACGACAATAAATAATGAACAAACGTTTTTTTTTTAATTCGAGACGAGAAATAAAGAGTAAATATTACATATTGACATTTTTGTATTGCGTAAATATTTATCTGCTGATTGTAAAGTATTTTAAAAATAGCTGGAAAACCAACGCCCTTATCGCGTCGTGTATTTTACCGGTTTTATCAAATTAGACTAATAATTTGTTTCTAATTTTTCAGCTTGAAAAAAAGAGAAAAATAGTCAAACTTATAGAAGAAAATGTAGACAATCATTCTTCAATTATATTTAACCTTGCAAAACGTGAATCATTTTTTTTAATAATTCTGCAATTATTTAATTATTAAAGGAGATTATAATACTTTATCTTTTTAGGCAAAAACATGTGACATTGCCGGCATTTATAAAATACAGACATAGAAATATAATTAAAATATAAATAATACAGAAGTGCGTGATAGAAATTTAATGCTTACCTTAATTTATATCAAGAAGCTCAGCACTCGTAATTAACAACTTTTTTTTTACTTTCACGAAATCGCGAGACGTGCTTCACTTTCGGAAAACTGGAAAACAATGAACAATGGCTGCAAAAGTGCAAGAAGAGAAGCCGCAAATAAATTATTTACGTAACTTTTAGGTGGGGATTTCGTTTCACTGCCTTTAGGTTAGGATTGTACGTTGTAAACACGCCTTGAACGATATATCGAAACGATCGAAACAATCGAACGCCAACTTCAGAGCAGTCGAGAACTGTCGAACTCGATCAAGACATATTTGTGATTTTCACTAAAAATTTTATTCCAATTTTTCGTAAACATCGAATATTTTGCTAATAATGAATTAGTATTTGTTTCCTAAAGTATTCAGAATAATAATTTTAATGAATAGTTGACTAGGGAGGGAAAGAAAACACTGAAAATTTTGTTTACTCCAAAAATCATTTCTCCAAACATAACCTATGTTAGGTTTCTGTCATTAAATTAAATATTAAAAATATTGATAAAATAGTATAAAATTATTATTACTATTACTAATTGAGTAAATAGAGTAAAATGTATATTTGAGCGTTAATAAAACGCTTTTTTTTAAATAAATAATTAAGAATTCAAGTGTATGTGTCAAAATTTTGAAACTCGCTTTTGTTACTAAAAAAAGAAAGGAACAAGTAGTTTTTAAAAAACAGTTTATTTACTGTTTAATTATATAAAGTGTAGGGGAAAATGAGTGAAAATCCAGCGACAAATAATATTGCCGAAAGTAATGGGGTTATTGATCATCCAGCTTTTAATGGAAATACAGACGAGCAACCCGGTATGTAAACAATTGTATTTACCTTATTTACTATCAAGATAATGTGAAAGTGATTAATTTTTTAAATTTGTTTACTTATTTTTTATTATTTTATAATAAAAATTTATTTATTTTTTAGTGTTATTTTTTTGTATATTATTTAATTTAATTAAATATTTAGTTTTACTTATAATTATAGTATATTTATTTATTGTTTTTTTATATAAAATAAACTATTTTTAGCTAAATCACCTTTAATAACAGAGGAAAAAACACAAGATGCTGCTGATAATAATAATAAAAAGGCAGCGACACCGAGTTCAGGAACAACTCCAACCGTTCCTGCTAATAGGGGTAAAAAACGAAAAAAGCCAGTGAGAGATGCAACTGCACCGAAACAACCCTTAACAGGATATTTCAGGTAAATTTTTTCATTAATAACACTATTTCAATTTATTAATTTAGTTGGGATTTATTTTTCTAATCGTATTTTTTTTTTTGTTCAGATTTCTCAATGATCGTAGAGAGAAAGTGAGGGCGGAAAATCCAACAATGTCCTTTGCGGATATAACGAAACTTTTAGCTTCTGAATGGAGCAATTTGCAAACTGATCAAAAACAGGTTTTTATTCTTTTTCTTTTAATAGTAAAATTCATAAATTAAATTCTATTTATATTTCGAATAAGAAATAAAATAGAAAAATTATCTGAATGAATTCAATATTGAATTGAAATAAAATAGAAATTATCCGAATGAAATAAATAGAAAGGAAATAAAAAATTTTTAAATTTATACAATTTTTCTTTTTGTTTATTTAATAGCAATACTTGGATGCTGCGGAACAGGACAAAGAACGATACAATAGGGAAATTATTGACTACAAACAAACGGAGGCTTATCGTTTGTTTACCGAAAAACAGTTGGAAAAGCAAACCGACAACAAAAAGGAGAGAAACGGATCTGAAGTTTCCCTTGAACAAAACGTAAAATTATTATTTTTTCTAAAATTTAATTTTCGAATTTATACGACTCAATTATATTTTTATTTAACAAAAAAACTTCTGTTTTTTGTTTCAAGGATACACAACCGGAAAAAGATGATTTCTCAGGATTTGACATTCCTATTTTCACCGAAGAATTCTTAGATCACAATAAAGGTGAATTTTAGAAATTATTTATAATAAAAATAATAATACAGGGCTCGAAGTAGGTCCGTAAATCCTGAAAAAGTCAGTAACTTCGTTTCAATTCCGTAAAGTACGTAATTTTATTCAAAAAGGATGAAAAGTTTGTAAAGTGTACGATATAATTTGGAGAATTTTAGAGAAATTACAAATGATTGCAGAAATTCAATTATTTTTAAAAGTAATAAAATTTTTTGCAAAAATTCAATTATGTTCAAAAATTTTTATAAATTCTCGTCAAAATTTCAATTATTTTAGAAATATTAAAATTCTTCTCCGAAATTCAATTATTGTTTTTCGGCCTGATTGTATTTTTGTCAGTTGGTCCATAAAGTCCGTATTTTTAAATACTTTCACTGCTTCGAACCCTGTAATAAAATGAAAAATTATTAAATAAAATTTATAAACATTTAACAATTCTTATATTTAGAAATTTTATTTATATTTAGAAATTTATTTATTTGAACAATGTATTTATTTTATTTCGAATATTTAATTTAACGACAATTAAATTCTGTAATTTGATTGCTCAATTAATTAATTTGATTAACTTACAATATTCCGAATACTAAAAATAAAACAAAAAGAAATTTTTCTTTTCTCCATTTTTTTTTAGAAAACTCACTTTCATTTGTAAAATTTGAACTGAAAAATATTTATTTTTCGACAGCTTGTGAGGCAGAATTGAGACAATTGAGAAAAGCGACAGCCGATTACGAGGGACAAAATGCAGTTCTCCAAAGGCACGTGGACAGTTTGCACGCCGCCGTTAATCGTTTAGAAACGGAAACAAATCAGCAGCGCACGTCCAATCAAGCTTTACAGAGACACTTGGATTCACTTCGTTCACAATTAACCGGATGCTTTGCCACAATACCCCTTCAAGGTAAAATTAGAAAACATTTTCCAAAAAAAGAAAATAAGCGAAAAAAAATGAATTTAAAATTTTTATTAGTGTAAATTAAAAAGTCTTAAAAATTTTAATTGAAAAATTGTTGAATATTAAATATTAAAGTACAAATATTGAATAAATAGTAAATATTGAATAAATTTTAATAAAAATATTGAATAAAAGAATTAAATTCAAATTTTATAAATAAACTTGAAAGTAAATAAATGAATGAATTTTTTTTTGTAGGAACACACGAAGGTGCAACGTTACAAAATATTGACAGTTATTTGGAGAAACTCGAGTCATTATTGTCATGCAGTATTGATCCATCATTGCGAAATGCTGTTCGCAATGCTGTGTCTCATCTTGAATTGATTGGATGACAATCACCCTCCAATGTTGCGCCTCCAACTGTAAAACATCATCGCTCACGACATTCGCATCGTAAATGAGGGTAGCACTTTTTTAATTCAAAAAAAAAATAAATAAATAAAATTCGCTACCCAGTATTAAATAAACCAAACTGATAAGAAAAGAATATGATCAATTTCCCCGCCGCTCCTCTCAACCCGATCGTTGAGAGAGAAAATTGAAATCTTTTATGAAAAATGACACAAATATAATCAATATTTTTTATTTCTCTTTTCAAAAGAAACCAAAATAATTCATTTTCATCAAAAGAAAAAAAGTAATTATGAAATTAAACATTTTTTTTTAAATTCAAATATCAGTTTTTTTAATAAAAAATAAAAATTCCAAAAATCCTTATATTATTTACAAAAAAACTATTTTACAATTGTCGATTCATATAAAATAAAGAAAATTAGACATTAAGATAGACTTTAATATAAACAAGTGTAAAAATAAAAAATTGTGTGCATTAAATTACTGAATTGAATTTGGAAATTTTCAATTAATTCCTTCCAGTATTTGAATTGGAAATTAGAGAGAAAATTTCGTATGACAATTTAAACGCTTAGATTCTTTATTTTTTGCTGTAGTTGACTCAAGGAATATCTGCAAAAAGAAAAATTATACATTGCATTTGTTTCTTTCTATATTAAATAAAATATCAATTATTTTAAATTTAATTTTTAATTTAATTAAAAAAATTAATTGTTTCAAGTAAAAAATATAAATAAATATAATTTTTTTTAAATGAAATCAAAATCAAATAGAATAGAAAATATTTTCCAAGAATATAATTTGTTTTTTAAATGTAAATTAAAGAAACGAAACGAACAGAAAACAATTTTTTTTCAGGTAAAGAATATAATTTCTGTTTTAAATTAATTTTTAAAAAATTAGGGCTGAGATTTAAATAATAAATAAATTTATTTTAAAGAAAGAAAAAATAAATAAATTTTTTACAAGTGAAAAAATAAGTGGAGTAAAAGTTGAATTTTTCTATAAATACTTAATAAAAAAAAAGTGACGAGTAAATGAAAATGTAAAAAATTGATAAATTATTTTCAATAATTAGGTGCGAATTAAAAAAAAACTGAATAAAATAAAAAATCATATTACCGAAGAGACGCTGCATTTTGTCTTCGATTTTTCTCATGATCGGCGACGGTTCTCTCAATATTTGGCAACAAGAATTTTATTAATTCGAAATTAACCTCGATCAGAGAAGTTAAAAATTCAAAGGACGATTTTACACTGAACGAAAGGAAATTTTGCACTCCATTCAATATCACATTGTAAAATAATTCGCTGAAATCATTTTAAATTATTAATGTTACATATAAAATAAAAACTAACAAAACATTTTAAAGAAAAATTTTCTTCCAAATAAAGAAGCAAATTAAAAAAAGGAAATATACATAATTAAAATTAAATTTTTGTTATAATGAAAAACAAGTGAAAAGAAAAAAATATAATAAAAAGAAAAAAACAAATCATTTAATTAAATTAATAAAACAAATTTAAAAGAAAGGAATAACATTAAAATGAAATTTTTATCGTAAAATTTCGTTAAAATGAAAAATTGAAAAGAAAATTTGAGAAAAAAACAATTAAAAAAAAGAAATAAAATTAAAACGAATTTTTTATTATAAAATTTCGAATCGAAAATAAAAAAAAAGAAGAATTGAAGAGGATATAATAAAACAAAAAATTATTAACTGAATTAATAAACCAAATTTTGAAGTTAACGAAATAAAATTAAACTTCAATTTTTATTATAAAATTTCGTTAAAAAGAAAATTTGAAGAAAAACCAATTAAATGAACGAAATAAAATTAAAATGAAATTTTTATTATAAAATTTCGTTGAAATAAAAAAATTATTAAAAAGAAGCACTGGAGAAAAAATAATTGAAAAGAAAGAGATAAACAAATTAATTAATTAAATTAATAGGAAACAAATTTAAAAGAAAGGAATAAAATTAAAATTAAATTTTTATTGTAAAATTTCATTAAAATAAAAAAATTATTAAAAAGAAGCACTGGAGAAAAAATAATTGAAAAGAAAGAGATAAACAAATTTAAAAGAAAGAAGTAAAATAGAATTTTTATTATAAAATTTCGTTAAACAGAAAAATAAAAAAGAAACAAGGAGAAATTAATTTAAAAATTATTAAAAGAAAGAAACTGAAAGTATTTGATTAATTAATTTTTCTCAAATATTTAGAACAAACCTCAAATTTGGATTTTCCTTGTAATGTTGATTCAATAAAACATTTTGTATAAAATCAATCGTTTGCTGTCGATGCGGATGTAAACTGTGTACTTTCATATAACAACGAATCACATTCGGCGTGGAAATTGTAATTATTAATTCAGACACATATTTTGGATAAGCAGTTCCTCCCTTCAATAAATTCCTCAATAGTATCATTACCTGAATAAAAAAAAATTTATTTAAATACATAAACTTTTTTTAAAATTTTACAAACATTTTCAAAGTTTAAATAAAAAAATTCACTATTTATTTACTCAAATTAATTAATTAAACAAATAAAAATAAAAACCGGATAGGAAATTTTTCAATATTATATTTTGAATATTTTTTAATTATTTTTGAATAAAATTTATCACTCACCAAGAAACAATGTTTATGAGTCGTATTATCAGTGGGTACAACAATAAAATTATCGGACAATTTTTCAAAAATAATTCGACTAAAATCACGTTTCGCCTCGGAGAAGCATTTTAATAATGAATCGGCAGCTTTAAAATTATTTGGACTCAATTCAGTGATTAAAACCGGTAGATATTGATCGAAAAGATCTCTAATTAATACTTGTAGTGACATATCAGAATTAACGTGAAGATTTTCAATTCCCAACATAATCATGGAAAATATTTGTTTCGCCATAATTGTCACATAATTTAGAGAAGCATTTTCCATTGGCAGAGCAACTTTATTTATCAATAGTCGAAGCATATTGTTCCCTTGATTCTAAAATAATCAAATATAGTTCATAACAATAATAATGAATAAAATAATATTTTATGACATAATTTCATTGAAATTTTCATTTTCATTCACCAAAACCACTTAAATAATATTAATGATAATTATTATTGTCAAATTAATTTTACAAGGCCTCGAAAAATTAATTTCACAAAATATTCTATATTTACATCGTTTTTTTTTGCCAATTTGAACAAAAAAAAAAAATACAAATTAATTATTATAATTATCTATAATGTAAAAGTTTATAATTTTTAGTGAAATTATGTTTTCTTTTCTCATTAACATACCCGATTGTACATTGTTGGTGCACAGCATATAATTAATGTTCCTATACATCTGTAAATCCAAAAGGCAACTTTCGATGTAATATTCTCTTTATTTAATGGTAACAAAATCCATTTGTCGATATTTTTAAAGAATTCTTTACACTTTGTGTCGAATTGCATTTTTTCGTGTTCGCTCTGAAAATTGATGTTATATTTTTAGAATTCCTTTTTATTTTTGGAATTTAAAAAAAAATTCAATTACTATTAAAATTTATATTTTCAATCACTCACATTTAAGTTATTTCGTTTCGCAGCCAATGCCATGATAAAGTCAATAATCGGTTCTTTTGATTCTTGATTAAATACCAAAATCTCCCTCACCATCTCCAAATCCTTAATGTATTGCATTAAAATTTTCGAATCGTCTTCAGGCGAAAAATTCAAAATACTGCTACGAATCCAAATCTAACGAAAATTCATATTGAAAAAATCATTTTAATTAATTAATTTATTAATAGAATAAAAGTATTAATTAATATAATAAAATATTGATTGACTAATAAATAAAAAGAAAAATTTGAAAGGAAAAAAACTAATTGCCTAATAAATATATAAAATAAAAAAAATAATAAATAACATATTAATTGTGACGAGAAAATTAATAATAAGTAACAAAATCTCTATTTTAAAAATATTGTTTTTACTAACTTGAACGGCAATGAGATCAAAATCCGTGACTTCTGTTTTAAGCGCTTGAACTGATGAGTTTTTATTTAAAATAAACGAGAGGTACGATCGAGAGAATCTGAAATAATAGTTTTTCGTTTAAAAAAAAGGGAAATAAAAGTGGAAAAAATTGGAAATAAAAAAAAATACCTTGCGTCTTTTATGTAAAACGATGTGAAATGTTTAAAAAGACTTGCAGCTGAATGCTTGTATTTTCGCGCAATCATTGGATCCTTTAATGCGTCTATTGTAAAAAATACAGCCAATTTCGTTAAATTTAGATAAAAATCGCCAATTGTTGGATCGAGGACTAATTGTCGAATTCTACAGACGACGTGACACCACAAAGCGTCCAATACTAATTTCACGCCACCTAAAACATAATTAATAATTCATCAATATTTAATAATTACTAATAATATTAATAATTCATTAACATTTAATTTTTTTAAATTTTTTAATTTGTTTTTTGCTAGTTAATAATTCATTAATATTTAAAAATTAATTAACATTTTTAACAAAATTAATCAATTTTTTTTTTAGAAATTTGCTTCAATCGCTGAAAATATCAAATATTTATAAAATTATAAATTTAAATATAAATAATAAACGAATTAATATAAAAATTTGTTTTTGTATAATTTTATCTTTTATGTTATATAAATTTTTGAAAGAATTTTTCGTTTTAATGTCCTTAAAAAAATTTACCCTGATTAGCGTCCGTATTTGTGATTTGATGGCATTTTTGAAAAATTTCTATCAGAATTTGAGTCAAATTGCCAAACATATGTCTCGAACAATCTGAAAAATAGCGATCAATCCATCCGCCAATTAAAATATGTTCACCTTGATCATATTTTTCACTTGTACGCACAATTGTATTTAAAACATCGACATACGCTGTCATCATATTCGCTGAATTTTCATCTTTTTGACAGCAAATCAAATTCACCTGAAATATTTTATAATATTATCTTAATCAAAAATTAAAATATCTTTTGAATTTTTCCATTTTCAATTTTTCAATTTTCAAATTAAAAACTAAAATCTTTTAGTATTAAAAGTTTAAATAAGTAAATACTTTTAAAGTATTTTATTATTTTTATTATTATTATTATTATTCTTACTATTATTGTTGATTTTATTATATAAATTATTTTAAAAGTAGAAAAAATGAAAAAAACATTACCCCAGTTGTGAAAGTGTCTGAAAAACTGCAGAAATTAATTCTCTGCTCTTTAAACAATAACAAAACGGCGAGTTGTGACTTCCAAATTAAATTACATTTCTTCCCATCGAGTTTAATCCATTCTGATATCGATGGCAATAAATTCAACATAACCGTACACTGAAACATATTTAAAATTTTTATTTTCACACAAATTAATTTGAAACTAAATAAAAGTATTCCATTCCTCAAAAATTATAATTCATATAGAAAAAATTGTATTATACTTCTTTTTCAATTAAAAAAAAGCTATTTGTTTAGATTTTTTTCGTTTAGATGAAAATTTGTTTTGTTTTAGAAAATAAAATTTTTTCTATGAAAAAATAGATGCTATTAATTAAAATAAAATATTGATTAAAAAAACAACGGAAAAACTTACGACACTTTCGGTATCAACAGTTACGGCCAAAGTCAAAAATAGAGAGATAAAATTATACATTCCGGACACGGAATACGTTTGTACTTTTGTTTTTGTTAATTTGGAAAATATTCGTCCCTTCATCTGATTCCAATATTTCGGATCGTTTTGATTTTTACGCAAAAATGTACCTGTGAAATAAGAGCAAAAAAAAAAATTGAGACGAGAATATTTGAGAAACAAAAGCAATTATTTGTCTCCTAATAATAAGTAAATATTAATAAAGATTTCTTCAATTTACCCAAAAATCGTAAAAACATTCCGTAACTAGACTCTTTGCTTTGCTCAAAATCATTTTCCAATCTCTCTCTAATTTGCTTCAAAATATCGGCTGGCGACTTTCTGTATTAAAAAAGTAACAAAATAGTTATTGATCAAATAAATTAAATAAGAAATATTATAATAAATTAATTAATTAAATAAAAATTATTTAATAGTCAGATTTTAGAATAAAAAAAAAGTAGTGGACAAATTACTTTTCAAGGGATAGCGACCAAGGACCGGAAGTTTGCAAAAGAAATGGTTGATCCAGTCGTCGATGAAAACAATCCCACAAAAATGAAAGAATTTGTATTCTCGGCTGCCACCACTCTGTCGATATAATTCGCAATAATGGAATCATTATTTTCAATTCCTCATCAATTTCATCTCTCTCGCCATCCTTTCCGCCTTTATTCACATAGGCCTTTAAAATCCTTTCAACTTGCTCATAATTCTCCTTCACCTTTGAAATTAATTTCATTTTAATTATTTTTTATTTTCTTTATTATTTTTTTTTATTAATGTAATTTAATTTAATTATTTTTTATTTTATTTTTTTTTTTTATTAATTTACTTTAATATAATTACTATTTTTTATCGAATATATTAATTCAAGAACTAAATATGTAATTAGTTACTATAATTAATTTATCGATAATCGAATATATAAAAAATTGTTAATTTATCAATAATCAAATATATAAAAAAAAACATTAATTTAACATTAAAAAAGAGACTTAAAAATTATTTTAAAAAAAAAATAAATTCAATACCCGTATGGAACGTGATTGTAGATAAAAACCATCGTTATCGTAACCATAAAGCAATGTCATGTGATAAATCAACCATATTGAAAATAATTCCGTATTAATGCAATCAGGTAAATTGCTCTCCAAATTTTTTAGCCAACTTGCTTTTTCCTGTGCTCTGTTTTTCAATAGAAGATCATTTAAAATAAGATTCACGTAATCCCAAAAGTTCTGTAAGCAAATTTAAGAAAATAGAATTAACATTTTTTTGAATAATAAATAAAACTAATCAAAATGAATAAAATTCTTGAATAAATTAAAATTCTTAAAGAATAAAATCTTGAATAAATTAAAATTCTTAAAGAATAAAATAATAAGTAGTAAAAAAAGTTAAAAGTTAAAGTATGTAAAAAAAAAGTTAAAAACAGTATTTTTTTAATATCAACTTTTATAATTGATTATAGAAATTAAAAACAAATTATTATCTAGAAATAATTAAAAAATGTTTTTAATAAAGAAAAATTTCGAAATAAACCTTTGAACCTCTTTTTGCAGCATAATCGTCAATGAGAATTTGAAGCATAAGCCATAATTCTCGAACGCAGGTACAACTGTAAGGTGTTTTCATCTTTAATTCTGATAATGGAATCTAAAACAGATTTTTTTTTAATTAAACAATTAATTATTTCATTTGAATTAAATTAATTAAGTAAAATTAAAGACAATTGAATCAAATTAAGATCAAATCGAATCAAATTAAATCAAATCAACTCAAATTAAATCAAATTGAATTAAATTAAGAAAAATTGAATCAAATTTAATAAAACCGAATCAAATTATATCAAATTAAATCAAATTTAATAAAATCTAACAAATTAAATGAAATTGAATAAAATCGAATCAAATTGAATTAAATGGAATCAAATTAAATTCTTCAAAAAATTAAGAAGAAAAATTAATTAAATTAATTAAAATTATAATTCACAAGACTAATTACCCTTGCAAATATTTTCATCGACATGTAAATCAAATCATTAACAATAAGCTCGAAAGTTTTGTCCAATTCATCCGCAGGTTCATTTATCGAATTTTGCCAAGAAACATTCCGAGCATAAATTAACGTCACATAGAGCCATCTTAATTCCAAATGCATATGATAAACGTGAAATTCAGGTTGAGAACACTGTAAAAATTAATTACTTAAAAACATTAATTTGGAATTAAAAAAGAAAATTATAAATGAAGAGAAAAAAAGTTATTTCTATTATTTTTTTTCAAAAGAAAATTAAAATTTGAATTATTTTATATTCATAATTGAAAATACTCTATTTCCAAGATGTGAAGCTGCGTAGTGAAATATTGAATCAGGAATACTTTGCAAACGACTGCAAAAACGACAAATTGTACTTAAAAGTTCTTCCAAATCGTCTTCTATTTCATTGCTAATTGCCTTCAATGACGAACTGTTCCATTTAATACTGAAAACAATTCATTGGAAAAATTAATTTCAATTTTGCGGAAAAGATTATTTGAATTATTAATTATTAATTAATAATTATTAATTATTATTTATTAAGACTAATTATTAATTATTATCTGTTAAGATCAATTATTAATTATTAGGATTATTAGAATTTTCCAAACAAAAAATTTCGGGAAAATTAGAGAAAAATTAGAAATAAGGAAATAATGGTAATTTTAAAAAATAGAGAAAATATTTGTCTTCTGTTGCTTTTTAAAGATGGAAAAATTTTTTTTCTTACCTATTTAAATATGAGCGAACGTACGTTATAAATTCGCAAACATGTTTTCTGAGGATGTAGAAATCTTCATTGTTCTTCGACAATTGATTAACGTTATTATATTTTTCTTTTCTGATGAACTGCTTTAAGGCCATTCTGTAATAAATTTCGCAATAAGAAAGCAGCAAATGAAATTAAATTGAATGAAACTCAAAAGTTTTTTCTTTAAACAGAATTAAAATAAAACAAAATTAAAAAGAAACAGAATTAAAATTAAATTAAAACAAAATTAAAATAAAATAAAATAAAATTGAAATAAAACAAAATTAAAATAATAAAAGGAATTAAAATAAAGCAGAATTGAAATAAAATTAAATAGAATTAGAATAAAATTAAAATAAAAAAACAGAATTAAAATAAAGTAAAATTAAAATAAAACAGATTAAATAAAAATTAAATTAGAATTAAATTTAAATTAACTAAAAATTGATTCTAAATCAGTGACAGTTAAAAAAAACATTTTGTACAATTTATCATAAATAATTATATATGTTGATCGATTATAAAAAGAAAAAATTTATACTCACTCCATGCAATTGATATAATGTTTAAGATTTAAAATTGCCGTGGCACTTGGCACCAAACAGTCGAAAAGTCTAACCTGCTCATCGGAAAATAAATAATTTCTCTTTGGAATAAATATGTTTTCCACTTCTTTCGCAAATAAACCTGTATTATTTAATTGCCAATCGGCGAAATTAATTTTTCCGCTACAATTAAATGTACAATCGTAATCGTCCATCTGGAATAATAAAAACAAAAAAAAAATTGACAGAATAAGCAAAAAAATATTTCACCAACGTGTCTACATAGGCAGAAATTTTAATTAACTGTAAAACTAGTGTGAATATATTCGACCTTTTTAAATAATATTCAACCATTTAAGAAATAATTAATCCCACAGTTCTTTTTTAATATTTAAATATAAACAAAGTGTTGAAAAACTTTTTTGACATTTTTTTTCTCGTTATTAACTGGCGCCAAAACAATTCGTAGCAGACGACACAACAAGATCGACTAGAAACAGGAGGGCCAACTTGGCGGTTGATTATTTACTTGTTTACAATCGGACTTTTAAGTTGGACCTACTGTTTAGTCTTGAAGTTATCAGGGTTGAGAGCGCGTGAAATTGCTCTCCTAAATTAAGTGATTTTTGTTCGGTTTTCTGAAGTAAATAAAGTCAAATACCGAGGCATTTTACTTCAAAAGTTTTATACACAGTGTATTTTTGTAAAATACATATTTTACCTATGAAAAAACCAGGAATTTTACTTCAAAAAAACATCGAGTGATTCTACTGCACAACCCTGGTTAGTACCGCTTGAAGTTGGCGCTTAGTTGAAGGACCTGAAGTTGAAGCACTTCAAGTTACATTTGAGATTTTGAGGTTAGTTTCTATAAACATATATTTTAAGTTTTGTTTTGAAATCATTTCGACTTGTTTACTTCCCTTACTGCGTGGTAACAATAAAATTTTAACATAAGTATTTTGTGAAAAATATCTAAAGCAACAGAAAAAGTGGAAAAAGTATTTAAATTATAGTAATTCCCCGCCATAAGCAGACAATTTACCACGTGACTTTGAAACCTTGCCTAGCAGCTGTTCAGCTGTCAAAATTCTTTTTCCACCAATCGAATTGTTATCCTTTTTCTTTTGTTTTACAACACAAAAAATTGCACAAACAACCCCTCGGGAAAAAAATGACACTATCTGAACAATTGGACAGAGGTAGACGAACGATAAACGTGAAACTACGAATTTAAACGATTTAAATACATTGATAAACAAACAAAAAGTGATGTCGTCGTACTTTAAAATACTTGCGAGTCAAGAAAAAAAACAACTTCCTAGTATCAAAACAAAGATTTCGATATAACAGTTAACCTAAACGTTCGTCAAACGTTCACAACTGGTTCGTGAATAACAGACATTATACCAGTATGAGTCAGCTTTTTAATAAACACGAAATTATTTATTATGAATTATGAATATCAAGTTGAGTATACGATAAAAGGTGTAATTGACAGAATTGAAAATTTAGTGAATTTAGAAATGCTTCTGAGTTAGCAATGATGCCTCAGTTAAAAGGTTTGCCAGTTTTTATCTTTCCACACAGTATCAAATTTTACATGGATGATCAGTCGTCACATAAACAAGTTTTAACCCTCTACAATCCCTACGATTTTCGTCTTAAATTTCAAGGTACGTCATGTTTTCAATTTTCAATATAAAATATGAAGAAAATGTACGAATTTCTAAATAGTTTCAAAATAATTAAATGTCTGCGAAGAATTTTTTATTAAAATTCTTTAAAATAATTAAATTTCTGCAAAAAAATCTGATAAATTATGGAAATAATTAAAATCCGTAATTACATTCAAAAAGGATGAAAAGTTCGTAAATTGTACGATATAATTTGGAGAATTTTAGAGAAATTACAAATGATTGCAGAAATTCAATTATTTTTAAAAGTAAAAAAATTCTTCGCAAAAATTCAATTATGTTCAAAAAATAAAAAAAATTCTCGTCAAAATTTCAATTATCTTTAGAAATATTAAAATTCTTCTCCGAAATTCAATTATTTTCAAAAAAATCTAAAAAAAACATTGTCAACATTTCAATTATCTTTATAAATAAATAGCAAAACTCTTCGACAAAATTCAATTATTTTCAAAAATTTTAATAAAATTCATTACAAAAATTTCAATTATTTTCATAATTAACAATATTTATCAAACGAATTCAATTATTTTTTAATGTAATAATTAATTAATTAATTAATTCGAAATTGAACGGAAAAATAAATTATTTTCCTTTTAGTTTGTCTTGAAAAATCTGCACAACGTGACAAGTATACAGTTGTCGATTCGGAAGGAACGATAAAAGCAAAATGTTGCATCGATATTGTAATTCGACATATTTCAGCTGTTCCTTCCAACTGTAATGTTGTCGATAGATTTAGTATAGATGTTGAAGCATATCCAACGAAAATGGTAAGAAATTCGATAACGATTTTTTAATAATTTGCAAAACTAAATTTTAAAATGTAATTTATTTTCCATTTTTCAGTTTGCAGGGAGGCAAATAGTCACTGCAACATTACTCAGTACCAAAGAAAGTGTCGGAAGAGAAACTCCGGATATTGATACATTTCAACAATTTCCAAGAAGTGAAACGAAACATCAACAATCATCGTATGCTTTGATCGCACAAAATCGACCTGTTGATAGTAAGTTTCAATATTTTATAAATTCTTTTCAATTCTTATAGAAATTTTCACCTATTTTCTCTATTTTTCAATTTTTCTTTTCTTTTTTTTTTTAATCAAATTTAAAAAAAAAATTAAGTAATTAATTAATTTTTAAATTAATTTTCAGGAGGAACGAATTATGTGGCACTAATAGCAGCATTAGTTTGCATGGTTGGATTATTTCTTCCCACTGAAGGTGATAAAAATCCTAATATACCCGAGTACCTTCATCTAACGATAAATATTAAAATTATTCTTGCATTTGTACTAGGTAAGTTTAGAAAAAAAGGACTTTGGAATTTTTTAAAAAATTAAAAAATTGGATTATTATAGGGGAACATAGTCTAGGTCGGCCACTTTTTTGACTTTTGTTTATAACTTTTTTTTAAAAATGAATTTGGACAATTGAAGTATATGGTTGGAAAGTCCTGTTTAATAGGAACATCTTTTCTGTACAAAGTAAATTGATTGGTTTAAAAATGAAAAAGTTATAAAGATTTAAAAAAAAAAAAATTTGTAGTCCAGGTTGGCCATTACAGTCAAGGTCGGCCATGTTTAAAATTCAAAGGGCATTAATCGTTAAAAAATAAAATAACATGTTTGGAGTTACGGAAAATTGATTCTTTATTGTTTACAGCTTGTAACTTAATGAAATAACAAAATAATAACAATAAACAATATAAAAAAATAAATATAAATAAAAAAAAATTTTGCACTAAAATATTAATAAAATTAAATAAAAATATTAATAAGATGATCAATTATATTATGAGTTATACAGAATTGCAGTTTTTACAAATGAAGTAGCTCGTCCTCATCTTTGCGCATTTTAAACACATAGTGGCCGACCTTGACAGTAAGTAACATTACCGAATTGTTGTAACCATAAAGAAATACGTTTCGGGATTCGATTTTTTACTTTGTTTTTCTTTCAACCATGAGTCCCACAAATTTTCTGCATACTTGCCTTGACGATTCAATTTGTTTTTTATCTTTTATTAATGGTTTTTCACATTATGCACAAAACTTTTTTTGAGCTTTTTTTGTACCGACGTCACAGAAAACACAATTTTCGATTTTCCGAAAATGTAATTGAACAAAAAGTTAGGTTACACTAAGACAAGCTTCGACAAGCATGCGCGTAGGTGGCGCTAGTGAACTTGTCCAAAAAATCGCGATGGCCTACCTAGACAGTAGACCAACCTTGACTACATTCCCCTACTCCAATTAAAAATTAGACTTTTACAAAACGATTATTAATTAAAAATGACAGGGTTCCTACAGAATCTGGAAATCATGGAAACCATTAAAATGGTATGGAATTTTTAAAAGGCTTCTGGAAATTAGGGAAATCATGGAAAAGGCCTGGAATTTTTAAAAGTTTTTAAATTTTTTCTGTTTTCCATTTTTTCTCTTGAATAGAAATTCAAATAATAATAAAGCTAAATGGCATAAAAGAGAAGAAAAAATGTTGAATTTTATGAAATTCGATTTTTCGGATTTCTGATAATTTTTAATAATTTTTGATTTTTTACCAAAGGGTGGAGACTATTGAATAAGTAAAGTATTTTCCAAGAGCACAAAAATAATGAAGCTAAATCCAATAAAAAAGAAGAAAAAATGTTCAATTTTAAAAAATTCGGGTTTTCAAATTTTTTATAATTTTAGATTTTTTACTAAACGGTGGAGACTTTTTAATAAGTAAAGTGTTTTTGAAGAGCACAAAAATAATGAAGCTAAATCCCATAAAAGAGAGGAAAAAATGTTGAATTTTAAAAAAATTCGGATTTTTGAATTTTTGATAATTTTCGATAATTTTAGATTTTTTACCAAAGATTCGAGACTATTAAATAAGTAAAGTATTTTCCAAAAGCACAAAAATAATGAAGCTAAATCCCATAAAAGAGAGGAAAAAATGTTGAATTTTAGGAAATTCGGTTTTTTGAATTTTTTCGAATTTTTGATAATTTTAGATTTTTTACCAAAGATTCGAGACTATTAAATAAGTAAAGTATTTTCCAAAAGCACAAAAATAATGAAGCTAAATCCCATAAAAGAGAGGAAAAAATGTTAAATTTTAAGAAATTCGGATTTTTGAATTTTTGATAATTTTCGATAATTTTAGATTTTTTACCAAAGTGTCGAGACTATTAAATAAGTAAAGTATTTTGCAAAAGCACAAAAATAATGAAGCTAAATCCCATAAAAGAGAGGAAAAAATGTTGAATTTTAAGAAATTCGGATTTTTGAATTTTTGATAATTTTCGATAATTTTAGATTTTTTACCAAAGTGTCGAGACTATTAAATAAGTAAAGTATTTTCCAAAAGCACAAAAATAATGAAGCTAAATCCTATAAAAGAGAGGAAAAAATGTTGAATTTTAAGAAATTCGGATTTTTGAATTTTTTCGAATTTTTGATAATTTTAGATTTTTTACCAAAGATTCGAGACTATTAAATAAGTAAAGTATTTTCCAAAAGCACAAAAATAATGAAGCTAAATCCCATTAAAGAGAGGAAAAAATGTTGAATTTTAAGAAATTCGGATTTTTGAATTTTTGATAATTTTAGATTTTTTACCAAAGAGTCGACACTATTAAATAAGTAAAGTATTTTCCAAAAGCACAAAAATAATGAAGCTAAATCCCATAAAAGAGAGGAAAAAATGTTGAATTTTAGGAAATTCGGTTTTTTGAATTTTTTCGAATTTTTGATAATTTTAGATTTTTTACCAAAGATTCGAGACTATTAAATAAGTAAAGTATTTTCCAAAAGCACAAAAATAATGAAGCTAAATCCTATAAAAGAGAGGAAAAAATGTTGAATTTTAAGAAATTCGGATTTTTGAATTTTTTCGAATTTTTGATAATTTTAGATTTTTTACCAAAGATTCGAGACTATTAAATAAGTAAAGTATTTTCCAAAAGCACAAAAATAATGAAGCTAAATCCCATAAAAGAGAGGAAAAAATGTTGAATTTTAGGAAATTCGGTTTTTTGAATTTTTTCGAATTTTTGATAATTTTAGATTTTTTACCAAAGATTCGAGACTATTAAATAAGTAAAGTATTTTCCAAAAGCACAAAAATAATGAAGCTAAATCCCATTAAAGAGAGGAAAAAATGTTGAATTTTAAGAAATTCGGATTTTTGAATTTTTGATAATTTTAGATTTTTTACCAAAGATTCGAGACTATTAAATAAGTAAAGTATTTTCCAAAAGCACAAAAATAATGAAGCTAAATCCCATAAAAGAGAGGAAAAAATGTTGAATTTTAGGAAATTCGGTTTTTTGAATTTTTTCGAATTTTTGATAATTTTAGATTTTTTACCAAAGATTCGAGACTATTAGATAAGTAAAGTATTTTCCAACAGCACAAAAATAATGAAGCTAAATCCCATAAAAGAGAGGAAAAAATGTTAAATTTTAAGAAATTCGGATTTTTGAATTTTTGATAATTTTCGATAATTTTAGATTTTTTACCAAAGTGTCGAGACTATTAAATAAGTAAAGTATTTTGCAAAAGCACAAAAATAATGAAGCTAAATCCCATAAAAGAGAGGAAAAAATGTTGAATTTTAAGAAATTCGGATTTTTGAATTTTTGATAATTTTCGATAATTTTAGATTTTTTACCAAAGTGTCGAGACTATTAAATAAGTAAAGTATTTTCCAAAAGCACAAAAATAATGAAGCTAAATCCTATAAAAGAGAGGAAAAAATGTTGAATTTTAAGAAATTCGGATTTTTGAATTTTTTCGAATTTTTGATAATTTTAGATTTTTTACCAAAGATTCGAGACTATTAAATAAGTAAAGTATTTTCCAAAAGCACAAAAATAATGAAGCTAAATCCCATTAAAGAGAGGAAAAAATGTTGAATTTTAAGAAATTCGGATTTTTGAATTTTTGATAATTTTAGATTTTTTACCAAAGAGTCGACACTATTAAATAAGTAAAGTATTTTCCAAAAGCACAAAAATAATGAAGCTAAATCCCATAAAAGAGAGGAAAAAATGTTGAATTTTAGGAAATTCGGTTTTTTGAATTTTTTCGAATTTTTGATAATTTTAGATTTTTTACCAAAGATTCGAGACTATTAAATAAGTAAAGTATTTTCCAAAAGCACAAAAATAATGAAGCTAAATCCTATAAAAGAGAGGAAAAAATGTTGAATTTTAAGAAATTCGGATTTTTGAATTTTTTCGAATTTTTGATAATTTTAGATTTTTTACCAAAGATTCGAGACTATTAAATAAGTAAAGTATTTTCCAAAAGCACAAAAATAATGAAGCTAAATCCCATAAAAGAGAGGAAAAAATGTTGAATTTTAGGAAATTCGGTTTTTTGAATTTTTTCGAATTTTTGATAATTTTAGATTTTTTACCAAAGATTCGAGACTATTAAATAAGTAAAGTATTTTCCAAAAGCACAAAAATAATGAAGCTAAATCCCATTAAAGAGAGGAAAAAATGTTGAATTTTAAGAAATTCGGATTTTTGAATTTTTGATAATTTTAGATTTTTTACCAAAGATTCGAGACTATTAAATAAGTAAAGTATTTTCCAAAAGCACAAAAATAATGAAGCTAAATCCCATAAAAGAGAGGAAAAAATGTTGAATTTTAGGAAATTCGGTTTTTTGAATTTTTTCGAATTTTTGATAATTTTAGATTTTTTACCAAAGATTCGAGACTATTAAATAAGTAAAGTATTTTCCAAAAGCACAAAAATAACGAAGCTAAATCCTATAAAAGAGAGGAAAAAATGTTGAATTTTAAGAAATTCGGATTTTTGAATTTTTGATACTTTTCGATAATTTTTGATTTTTTACCAAAGAGTCGACACTATTAAATAAGTAAAGTATTTTACAAAAGCACAAAAATAATGAAGCTAAATCCCATAAAAGAGAGGAAAAAATGTTGAATTTTAGGAAATTCGGTTTTTTGAATTTTTTCGAATTTTTGCTAATTTTAGATTTTTTACCAAAGATTCGAGACTATTAAATAAGTAAAGTATTTTCCAAAAGCACAAAAATAATGAAGCTAAATCCCATTAAAGAGAGGAAAAAATGTTGAATTTTAAGAAATTCGGATTTTTGAATTTTTGATAATTTTAGATTTTTTACCAAAGAGTCGACACTATTAAATAAGTAAAGTATTTTCCAAAAGCACAAAAATAATGAAGCTAAATCCCATAAAAGAGAGGAAAAAATGTTGAATTTTAGGAAATTCGGTTTTTTGAATTTTTTCGAATTTTTGATAATTTTAGATTT